CATCTAGGAATTCTTCAAGTTTTGGGTCTTTTATGAATACTTCAAAATCTGGAACGTTCGTGCTAAACATAGGCGTAATTTTCGAACATCGTGCTCGCTTGGTGACGATAAAAGCCATGCTTTCAAGTTCATCATGCGTCCTGCTCGGTTTAGGCTTTTCTTGTGAAGTTATGTCATTACCATTTGAACTGGAGCACACAACAACACCAGAAAACACTGTGATCTCCAAGATTCTTATAATCAGCCGACAAAACATTATGCTTGTGGCTAAATGCTGTTGCATGTGAGGGTGCTGCGGAAAAGTATGAAAAGTTTTTGATGCTTGATAAAAGCCAAAATTTACGGAAGATAGTATTTTTCTACATTCTTCGATTTGAATGATACTTTAGAACAGCATGGTTTTTTAATCTCTAACCAGTATTCATGACTTGGCTCTAAAAATTTTTGGCAGGAGCAACGCCAGTTTTATATATGAAGATTATGCTTCTTTTAATCTCATTCTTGCCTTTGATGAAAAACTTTTTTTAGGGTATGGACACGGCCGAAGAAAACTTTCTTCAATTATACAGCGAATCCCCAGCATCCATCCAAGAACTTGACAAAATATCAAATTTGGAGTACTCAACAAGCGGCGAAATATTCAGTTACACAACAGATTCCTCTCTAAAAATATACTCAGCCACAACCAACAGTTTGAGAAACATAATCAGTGTAAAAATCGACACAATGAAGTACTTTCAAAACAACACAGTGCTCCATAGCAAGGACAATCTAATATTGTACCTTTCCATCTATGATAATAGATACATGAGAAAGTTTGAGGCCCACTGTGATGATATCTGCTCGATATCGGTAAATTCCAACAGCGATACCTTCATGAGTGTTGGAAAAGAGAGGATCAATCTGTGGGATATTCGATATCAAAGCCCCGTATTTTCCTTGGATTCCAATGGAAAGCTGGGTGCACTTAGCAAGGAGTATGACTATGCATTGTCCGATAGCAATTTTATTTACATATTTGATTGGAGAAACGACAAAGGACCTTTGGCAGTTAAAAATATAAAACCAAATTTCTACCAGAAGCTGTGGTACACTGGCGATGGCGCATGCATTTGTCTGTCTACATACAAAAACCACACGTTTCTCGATTCCCAAGGCAATTTTATGTCAAACTTTCTATTGGAAAATAGCTGTGATCCTGATATCATCAATGAATCAAACATATTGATCAGTGGATCCTCAAATTATATATTCTCGTATAAAATACCAGATAAAAAAGTTATTGGAAGAGCTAGCCTTCAAAACTTTGAGTGCAGTACAGTGAGAACCAATCCTGTTCATCCCCAGTTTATTTGTGCAACAGAACACCAGCTTAAGATTTGGAATATGGACGCTGGCTGATTTATATATTAAATTATATCCTTGCATATTCCTATCTAGTTTATATTCTGATTGGCATCTCAGCCTACAAACGTGAATAGCATCGAGTCTATGCTGTCTTCTTGGAGATTGGGAGTTTGCTGCAGATTTTTGCCCCTCATGGATTTTGGAATGGCCAAAAGTGAACAAAAAGAGATTCAACCATTGTCCGGGTTAGAAGAGCAAATGTACAAATCATGCCTAAAGCAAATAGTAAAATACTTGAACACAACACTTCCACCGTTATCTGAATCAGATGAGTCGACTATTCAAAGCACTACACCAAGCACTAAACAGACCAAAACTGCTAAGGATTCAAAGACGGATGCGAGAAGAGAAAGCAGGGGCAGTTATTTGTTGAGAGATGTGGTACCATCAAAAATCAGGAAGAGCATTGATAAAAGAATATCAAAGAAGACATCCAACGGTAAAAACAGGTCGCATAAAACTAAAAGCAAAAAACAAGCAATAGCCTAGTTAATTGCATCGACTATAGACATGTCCGACAGACCAGGTTTTCTTAGAAGACTCTAGCTCTATGCGAGGCATATTTATGGTTCTTTTAATTAAATGTCGTTAGCTTTTTGCCAGATTTAAAATAGAACTAGAAACGTGCAGGGCTTCTTTGTGTTTGTTTTTAGTTTGTTTATTTATACAAGTTGGAAAACAAGGGCAATGATCACAAGAAGACATAACACAAAGTTCTCGTTAATGATCTGTGGCGCAAAAGGCTCGGGAAAGTCTGCATTCTTCAACAGCTTAGTAAACAAGGACATTGTAAAGCAGTCCGAATCAAAAGACATTGATATTTATATATTAAATCTGGATTGCGATGGAGAGATACAGAAGATAACCTTTATTGATACCCCAGGATTTGGGGATTCAATGAATGACGAGGCATTACAGGACTCGATTGTTGATTATATTAAAGACCAGTTTGATTCGTTTATTGAGGAAGAGACAAAAATCAGGAGGAACGCAAAGTTTGAAGACACAAGAGTGCATTGTCTGGTATATTTAATACCTGGAACAGGACACGGATTAAAGGAAAGAGACATCGCATTTCTCAGGAAGGTGTCTGGACTTGTCAACATTGTTCCTGTTATTAGCAAGGCCGAGGGAATGACGGACTCTGAGCTGGTTGAAGTTAAAAGCCTGATAAATGATCAGCTTCAGTACTATAAAATCAGGGTGTTTGATTTTGAAAATGGAAGCCTGCTGCCTAGCCCCATCATTGAGCAAGGTCTGAATTCTGTCATTCCGTTTGCTTGCGTGTTTCCTGAAAATGTAGGCGAAGATCTAAGAATACGGGACCATCCGCATCGCACTGTTGAGATTGACAATCCATCACACAGTGACTATCCCAATCTGAGAAATGTGTTGTTGAGTTCGCACACAGAGGCATTTATTGAAGTCACTGATACGGACTTATATGAGAAGTATCGATCAGATGCTTTGGAAAACATTTTACAGGAATAAAAATCATATAAAACCTAGTTGTAGTTTTTACTTTAATGTCGAAATCTACGTACACATGGCTCGGTATTGAACAGTTGCGGTTATGTCCAATACATGCAACTGGCCAGTGTTCAGAATGCACCATGTGGGCGTTTTGTTTTTTGTATTTGCCCATCCTGCATGAATCCTTTTAATTCAGAAGTGCAGTACGATGGATACTTGGCTGGAATAATCACAAGAATCAACAAGTCTTCAGCGCTCACCTTGAGTGAGCTATTGAAGGAGCTTCTGCAATATCTTCCAAATAGCAACTACCGTTCTGACTACAAAATCATTCTGAAGACAATTCTACCACACTTGGATAGTGTGGGAAAGGACACGGTAAACAAGATTGTTTATTTTCTGGCCAAAAAACTGGGAGCAGACTGTCTAAGGTCCATTCAAGTTCAGTGGCTATACTCAAATATTGATTCGCAGGACTCATGCTCCAAAAAGCTTATTAGCGATTATTTCGACATTTCGCTTGTAGCAAATGAGTTTGAGAAGTTTTTAAAATTTGAGGACTGCTTGAAAGATCTGCAATGCTTTAAGTTTCTGGTTGAAAGAAGCAAGGAGCCGCATTATTTCGATATTTCAAAAATGCCTCTCCAGACCTATTTGGAGCTGGACATAATATACGAAATATTAACTATTCTAAAGGCGCGGAGCCCACTATGTTTCATCAAAGACAATATTAAAGAGAGCGACAAACTTGGTAGGCTATCAAAGGAAGTCTTCGAAAGGATACATGGCCTGTCAAACCAATTGCTGATGTCCAAAAAGTACAGGATACTGCTTGATATTTATAACTACTTGGATACAAAAATATACCAGGAATCCGCATACCTCACTCCTGACCTTATTAAAGATGTATTTTTCAGAAGTGTAAATAATGAGCAGGTTGCCGATACTGGAGAAGACATTGTTCTTGAAAACTTGGCTGTACGGTCTCTCAACCAGCTGGATGTGTTAATGCCTTATATATTAAACAGAGAGGCGTTTATACTCAGGAATATAGACGATTCCATGTGTATTTTTGAGCTGATGATAAAGTACAAGGTTTCTGCATCTTCAGTCTTAGACAATATTGACAAGTTTGCCCCAGCAGCCGAGCAATCCATAAAAAGGCATTATGTGCAGAGGGCCTGTCCATACCATAGTGATTTGTCTTTGTATTACAGTCAGCATTCTGAAGAGAACGCATCAATACTCGATAGTATATATAGTGTTTTCAACGGCAGGTACAAGATTATTGTTGCTTGCATCACAGGCAAGTCTCTAAATCCAAGTGAGTTTCAAGTACGGGACATTGATGATGCGATGGAGCACTCCGTGCATGTGTTCCCTCAGGAATTTTTCCACACAAACTCGTTTACATCTTCAGCCTTCTATTTTTTCAAAAAATATCCAGAAACACTCAGCAGGCTTGTTAAGACAGAAGAGCTGGATGGGTTTCTTTCATGCTTCCCAGCAACAAAACCTGAGCAGATTGCCAGATACATTACAGACATTGATGTTCTAGTCAAATATCTTTCAAGCTTGCCCAAAAATGAAGCACTGAAGCTATGCTTTTTAAATACTTATCCCAAGCTAAAAATAGCATATCTTTATTACTTGAGAGATGAAATTGAACAGTTTGATGTGGACTATTCTGTGGTTTTTGAGCATTTTTTCCAGGCTGATTTTTTAAGATACTTGCTCCAGAAAAGCAACAACATTGCCAACTTTATTGCCAACTGTCTTTTGTACATCAACTGTTTACCGTTTAAAAACACGGTTATGTATAATGGATGCAACTTTGACACTGAGCCTGAGTTTTACTACAATCTTGGACAGCCAGAACGCGATGCTGGATTGAAAATATTATTTCTTGTGCTTTCAAGTGTGAGGCTCGATTTAAAGCTTGAATTTATACTTCACATCATTGAGATTATACTATTTTATCCTTTTAAGTTTTCCGATAAATTAAAGAAGCATCTGGAAGCAGTGGAAGAGCAGAGAAGATACCGGGAGATGTTTAATTTAAACGACAAAAACTTTATACTCGACAGGCTTTTCATTGAAAACTTTGAGGGCAGAGTCAAATTGGAGACTCTGAAAATCAATACCAAAAAAGCACAAGATGTGATATTGAGAAATGCAATAGTGCCGAGACGCTATTTAATGGGCCTAAGTCCATCGTTTTTGAGTGGCAAAGCACTTGAAAATGCAATTCATTCTATTTGTAGCAACATTTCTGGATGTTCGCTGGTAGACTCCAGCAATCTTAAGGTTTGTTTTGATCTGGAAGGCTCAGAAACAGACCGTCTCAAATCCCTAAATTTTAGTTCAGAAACATCATCTTCAAGTCACAAGCCAGCCAATGTCTCATCTTTGGTAGATATTTTCTTTGAAGAGTCCGGCAAATCCGATATTGCCAGCTTCACCTATCTCTTAGAGGATGACGAAATACTTCGCTTATCTGAGTTTAGAAGCGAAAGATTCTCTATTTATGACCCGTACCTCACAATTGTTGCCGAGAAATATTCTGAGATGCTCAGTAACCTGTACAGCATTTCAAGATTGGAAAATGCTGACGAACATGCGGTGCTTGAGCTAATTCTGCAGCCACTCTCCCACCTGAAGTATTCTTTCTGGGCGGTTCTTTCCAGAACCCTCTTTACCACCAATAATATCTACATTTCATTTTTCATTGAGAGAATTCTCACTCGCTACATCGAAGATGACAATGATTCGAATTTTCTACGACAGAACTCAATCATGCCGATTAAACAGTACGTCTCACTATGTTGCGACTCTGAGTTAAGTATGCTTGCATTTGCACTGCCGAACCTGTTCTGTAAACTAAATATTAAAAAGACTCTGAGCTTTGAAGAGCTGATTAGGTTATCCATTGACAGAAAGATTGATGGTGGAAAGATAACATATTCATCAACCGGAGATGGCCACAAGCTTAGGTTTGTGTACAGGGCTGACTCGCTTGTTCACGAGGCAAACATTACCATACCCCTTAACTTTCCATTTAAAAAAGCCAAGCTTGAATTTGAAGGAAGTATGAAGAACCTCAAATTCTACCACAAGCTTAATGAAATCCTGGGCAGAACCAGTAAGTTTGTCGAGGTGCTTCTGCTTTGGAAAATAGACATAGATAACCATCTGATGGGATATTCAGAGTGTCTAATCTGCTATTTTATTATGGAGCCGAAATACCGAACCTTTCCGGAATTCAAATGCGAAGTATGCAAGAACAGCTTTCACGATAAATGCATCTACAAATGGGCATCTGAGAGCAAAAAGGCACACTGCCCATTTTGCAGGAGCGAGCTGCCATTGTGGGACAGAGCGTCAGGTCACAGTTAAAATAAATGCAATTTTCGACATTGTTTTATCGATTGCAAATTTTCGAATCTGAGTGTTCCTGTCTGGCCTTGCGCGATTCATTCGACTGTAAACAGTCTCTGTAGTTTTTAATGTAGAAAGATTGGTCTTGGCACTGGCATTTTGTGTTTCATGTCTCTGTTTCAAAGCTTCCACATGTACACCATTATCTTGAACTTGCGTCTTGTAATTATGTCTTGCTAAACATTTTTATGCATTTGTGCTCCAAATTTAGTATTTTATGCTTTTTTCTGACTTCTTTTTCAATATTTTTTCTTATTTGAAACTCAGTTAAAAATAAATTTCAAAAAAAGGGGCATCATGTTAGGAAAAAGCAGCGACCCATTACAAGAAGTGCTATCGCAAAGGAACACTGGATCACTCTACAGAATGGCCCAGAGCCGCAGTAACTTCTTTAAAACACAGAAGTTCGACTATGAATACTTCGGACTGTCGTTCATTCAGAGAATTATGGCGTTTGTTATCTGCGCTGTGGTTGGTCTTCTTCTGTTCTTCACGTCACTCTACCGAGTTATGTTTATTGCCATCAATCCTACTGGCTTTGTGGCTCCCTATGTACTCTCAAACATTCTCTTCTTCAATATGTTTGGCTTCCTTTCTGGATTCAAAACATATTTCAGTAGACTGTTCAGCAAGGAGAAAAAAGGATTTACGATTGCTTTTATTGCTGTGACAGCTGTCACGATGTATTCAGCATTTATATTGAAAAGATCCTTGTATGTCTTCTGCTTTGGAATAGTCCAGATATTTACATTTGTTATGTTTCTGGCTACCTTTGTTCCAGGTGGGACAGCCGGCCTTACTAGCCTGCTAAACATGGCAATCAAGGGCTGATAATAGTAAATAAATGTTCTTCCATCGTATATCAATTTTGTTCTTGTCCATTGGCAGGCTCTTCATTTAAAATTATTATATTCTTGAATAGCGTACGATCCAGCAACTCTAGCACAGAGGATTAAGTCTTTAAATGCTGATGATCGTTGCTAATATTGCTTTCGTTGAGGTATTAGGTTTTGAGTTTTTGCAGGACTTTTTATATCCCAAATGACTATGGACAAAGAGGACAATCAAGCAAAAGATAAATTGAAAAAGGATAAAAGACCAGAGCCAAAAATAACACAGACCGTTCAGAAGGCACCCCCTAAGCCAGGAGCAAAGGGTGTTTCGCTGGCCCAGATCAAAGCTATGCAACTGGCAAAACTGGAACAGGAAAGACAGATCCAGGAAGCAAAGGCAAAGGCTGAGGAACAAGCACAAGCCAGGAGACTGGAAGCCGAAAGACTAAAGACATTGAAAAAAGAGAGCGAAATTATAGAGAAGGCTGAGAAACAAAAGACAGCAGATATAAGCGCATACATGCGAAGGTTGACATTTAAACAGCCAGAACAGAAAGAAAAAACCACTGAGCCAACAAATGCTAATAAGTATGAGATCTCAAACTATAAAAGTCCAATCTGCTGCATTTTAGGTCATGTGGATACCGGAAAAACCAAGCTGCTCGATAAATTACGTGAATCAAATGTTCAGGGATCTGAAGTAGGTGGAATCACACAGCAAATTGGCGCAACATTCTTTCCCTCTGAGGCTTTAGCTAAGAAATGCAAACTTGCGCTTCCAGATTTGCCTGGACTACTGATTATTGATACACCAGGCCATGAATCCTTCAGTAATCTCAGATCACGAGGATCCTCCATTTGCAATCTGGCCATATTAGTCGTTGATATTATGCATGGTCTTGAAAGACAGACGCTTGAGAGCATATCTCTGCTTAGAACAAAAAGAACCCCGTTTATTGTGGCTCTGAATAAAATTGATAGAATCGTGAATTGGAAAAGTGAAAATTACAGATCTTTCAAGTCGTCGCTTGAATCGCAGGAGAAATACACACAGCAGGAGTTTAGATCCTTACTGGAAAATACAGTTGGGCAATTTGCAGCCCAAGGAATTAATGCAGCATTATTTTCTGAGAACACTGAGCCGCGCAGGATCATATCGCTGGTTCCCACGTCTGCTATTTCCGGCGAAGGCATTCCAGATTTGATAGGTCTAATATTAGATCTAAGTATGAAATTCATGATGGAAAAAATGAAAGTTAAACAAGACGCAGAATGCACTGTTTTAGAAGTTAAGAATGTTGAAGGATACGGAGTTACAATAGATGTAATTCTTAGCAATGGCACTCTGAAGGAAGGAGATAGGATAGGGCTGTGCGGGTTTGAGGGGCCAATAGTAACAGTGATAAAAACCCTGCTGCTTCCTCAGCCGCTTAGGGAATTGAGAGTGAAATCGCAGTACGAAATTGTTAAGGAGGTTAGAGCATCAATAGGTGTGAAGATATTTGCTAGTAACCTTGAAAGCGCGGTTGCAGGCTCGAAATTGTATGTCATTGAAAACAACGATGCTGAAATTATAAAGCTGCTAGAAGACGATTTGAACAGTGTCATTTCATCTATTGAAACAGTAGAACAGGGCGTGCATGTTACGGCATCCACAATCGGATCTCTCGAAGCACTTCTATCGTTTCTCAAATCTGAGAATGTCCCCGTTTCAAGCGTTTCTCTTGGAAAATTAAAGAAAAAGGATATCATTAGGATATCATCGATGCTAGACAAGCGTTTTAGACAGATTTTGTGCTTCGAGGTCGATATTGACAATGAGCTGCTGGATTTTGCAGAGTCGCAGGGCGTAAAAGTCTTCACTGCGCAGATTATCTACCACCTGCTTGATAAGTACAATAAGTATTGTGAGGATGTCACAACCTTGGATAAAAATTTGCACTCTGGTGAGGGAATATTTCCATGTTGCTTGAGAATTTTGCCCAACTGCGTGTTTAATGCACGGAGCCCTCTTGTTCTTGGAGTTCTTGTTGAGAAGGGAACCTTAAAGGTCAATACGCCTATTTGTGTATTTAAGGATAGTTCGTATGTCAAATTAGGCACAGTCACCTCGATTGAAGAGAAGAAGAAGAGTGTGGCAAAGGCGGAAAAAGGAAAGCAGGTGGCAGTTAAAATAGAAGTAGGAAAGGATGAGACATCAAAAATGTTTGAGAGACACTTTAACATGGATGACTTGTTGTACTCCATAGTAACACGTCATTCTATTGATATACTGAAAGAATACTTCAAGGATGAGCTGCAGCAAGACCATTTAGAGCTACTGTTTTATCTGAAGAAGAAGTTTGAAATCCTATAATAATAAACAGCTATCTAGTTCATTTGCCATTACAAATGTTTTGCTGTATATCAAAAAACCAGATGACAGAAATTAGACTTTTATTTCTTCTCGTGGTATTCAAAATTTCCATAATGGACATCTTTCAGCTGCCCTACAAATGGAAACACATTTCCTCTCAGTTCAAAGGAGATATGCCCCTTTTCGCCCACTGAGAAAATGTAGTTTGACTTTTCTTTTTCAAAAAATTTATACCTTTCACCGTTTTTGACGATTTTCGACCAGACCATTTCTTGTTTTCAGGAGACTTTGCAACCAGGTACAAAAACACCTGCTTCGTGTTGAAATTGAACTGGGGTGTGAGATCGATGTTTGGGAAGAACTGGCATGCCTTGTAGTTCCTGTTGGGAGATACCCATTCTACCTTCAAATCTGCGGTTACCTGAGGAGTGGAATAAAAGTATGATGTGATAAATATGGCAAACAGCAAAAGAACTGTACAGTTCATTAGTATTGAACAGAAGCTTGATGCTCTTGTTATTGCATTTTTCATGGGGTGAAAGAGTAAGAAAAATTTACCTTTAAACAAAGAAAACAAAGCAAACAAGAATGCCGCTATTTGTGCTAAACTCTATGTTGAACTACTGCGGAGGGGTTTGACTTTATTTAATGTCTATAGATCTGAAATGTCGTTGTCTTGACTAAACGATACAGATACATCAAAGTTCTCTTTATTTTCAATTAAATCAGTTGTCTTCAGAATCTTCTTCACATCAAAGCTAACTTTCTTGAATCCAGTCTGCTTTCGTACATTTTTGATGTATTCCTTGTCGTAGCAGCAATTCCCAAGTGCATTTCCAAACTGTCTAAGCGCTCTTTTTAACGCATCTGTTGCTGCTTCTTTCTTTGCCTTTTCCACAGCCGGCCCTTTCATTTTCTGGTTGTCTGCGCTGCCAAACCCCACATCCTCCTTGTAAGCGCCACTTCTCAGCGTAACCCTGCACACACAGGTATATCCAACACTAGTCTTGCCGTCATTTGTCTCGCAATACTCCTCTGTCATGCTTTTAATCTCCGAAGACCAACCATCAAATCCAAAAATCTTGTTGGCTAAGCTTATAATCATCCACCCTTCGACGTATGTAAGCTGTGTAGAGCCAAAGCCGGCTCTTACGCTGAGGTATTCTGGGCCGAGGCTCTTGTCTAGCTGTTTGGCTATTCTTTCTTTTTGTTTTTGGCTGAATTCACATGGCATCCATGAAATGTTTGGCCAATTTTTAATGAAAAAGAAATTTCGAAGTACAAAGTTTGATAAAATTAAAAACGAATAAAGTGCGATAAAGTACAAATTTACATTATAAAAAGCTTGTGACACAAAGTATGTTCAAGGAATAGGCATGAATGTCAGAGATACTTCTTATACATATTGTTGTTACTTCGAATGACACAAACGCTTTGTTCATCACTACGCTACAATCCTAACTGGGCCGTCTGCAGAGAAGAGCCTTTTACTTTTAGTGCATTGAAAGAATCTGAACTCTGCACTTCTTGGAGTCATAAGTGCTGAGACGACGAGATAAAGACAATTTAGCATACCCGATTTTGCAAAAGAAAGACTAGGTTGTAACTCCAATCTATTGATTTGTTACGAAGTATTATACAACGCTTTTCCGATTGCAGAAATTATCCTGCAAATATTCACGTATATAACAACGTAACGAAAGGGAGTATTTTTTACTCTCAAACTTTTCATGCATGGATCCTTCTCACACTCCAATCCAATCGCCAGCTAAGTATTAATCTTCGAATGGTTGCGTTTTATTGCTCAATTTAGTCTCTCCTGTGTGCTACCCACAACAATGTTTGTCACCTTGTGTTTTCATGAATTCTTACCCTCGATGGCATCTTCTCCGAAAATTGAAACCCGGCTTGCAAAGCCAAGTGATTTGGCTGAAGTTAGAAAGCTCAGAAGCATCCTTTTCGACACACCAACTCCCCTAACGCTCAGCCCAATACAAGTATTTCTGTTCTCCATCAGTTTCATATTTATGGTTTTTATGTCGCATGTGCTCGGCAAAATTTTCCCGAATGTTTCTCCAACACAGCTGTTTGTTGCAATGGTTGCTATCACTGCTTCAATAGGAATTTCTTTGCATTTAAACAAGAATAAACAGCGCTAAAGGTCTGCATTTGACACATTGATGTTTTTGATGTTCTTTTTTACTAGGTTTATGGTAATGATTAATTTAATTGGTCTATTCCACCTGCTGAACACTGCTGTATCCATTGTGTATTTCATATGATTCAGGCTTGTCTTAGTCTACGGCTGCTTACATTAAATCACACGTGATCCTCTTCAGTCATACGCACCTGTTTGCGAATAGTTTTGAATGTTCTATTTAAAGCAGCTACGAGGCTTGAATCACCATTCTTTTAACCCAATACCTCCTGTCTCAAGCTTTGCCTTTGCATTTGAAATAGTATAAAACAAACAAGTGTAATTTAAACATTTAATACATAATACGTTCTTTCTTTGAATTGACAAGCGCCAATCTATGTTTTTCTAAATCCGCATTTCTGCGTATTGAAAACAATCTCCCAGTTCCTTGAAATATACTCCAATATTTTCCTGCAGGCACCGTTCTTTGCATCTTGCTTGTCATATTCATATCCAGAAACAAAGCTTATGTCAAGAAAGGTTGCCGTGCATATGAAGACATCATTTTCTCGGACAGTCTCAAACTCTGGGAAGCAGATTTGATAATGCATGCAGAACTTCCTCACAGTTTCAGTATAGCTGTAGCGTGTGTCTTTACAATCTAAAATTATCTGCTTGAAGGCTGCTGTATCAGGATAGGTGATTTTATTTTGTGGCTTTAAATATGTGTTGCCAGTGTCTTGGTCCTCTTCGCTATTAGATTTGTTGGCATCATGTAGTGTGCTGGTATTTAGCACTGTATGGTACTTACTAGGATTGCTGGAAACTTCTTCATACGTTTTTGATTTTATGCTGGTTTCAGGTATCTTTTGTATACCATTTGGCTCCGTTATAGTGCATCTTCCATCACTTTCCCATGGAATTTTTAAATTATTAGTTTTCTGTACGATTGCCGACGCCTGTGCATCATCATTTACATTGACGCTGTCAATTTGGATGTTTAATTTTGCTGTCCTAAATGAAGGATCCAAATTATCACTCACAAGGCTATTGCTTAACATGATATTGCTGTCCACTGTATCATTACTGATTAAGCTAGAATTCAAGAGTGAGAATTTAGGATTCAAGGTATCAGAAGTATTCATACCAATCTGATAGCTATCTTCCTCTGTATTTGTTGTTAAAAATTCCGCATTGGCAAATGCACCATTTTTCACATTCTTTTTCCCAGGCATTCCCCTCAGCTTGGCTCTTTTTATAACTCTATCTACATTTCTAATACTGATCAGGCCTAGGAAGATCATTTCAAAAGCTCTTTCAATAAAATTAGATAGCACGGATGATTGGATAGCCGTAGTGCTTATAGTAGACTCTGCTTGTCTGCTATATGCCAAGGGAATATTCAATACATTCTTTACACCAGAAATACTATCATTACGAACTGCACTATCGTCTCTTTCAGTTACGCTCTTGTTGCTAGTAATGCTGATCGGCAAGTCTTTGATATCAGAATTGCTTTCCACCAAGCTTATGTTGAAACTGTCGCATGTAGATACTTTCATATCATTTATTTCGCTGTTTATCTTATTTTCGTAACTTTTTATTATGCTATTGTTGTTTAGCAGTACAGAGCTGCTTTCATCCTCGGCCAATTCGCTATTACATGCTGATCTTTTGCTTTCTAAAATATTTAGTAAATACATACTGCTATCCATTTTTCTTTGAATGCCAATGAGCTTCTGTGCGCCTTTGAGTCTTTTACAGTCCTCACTGAAGCAGCTGTAAAAATCAACCTTTGAGGAAACTAAGGCGGCCTGGGCCGCGTTTTTTTCCTGCCTAGCACACGAGGCTCTAAACTCTTCATGCTTTATTTTCTCGTCCCGCTCAAATTTCTTTTTTATACAGGAATGTGCAATCTCAACTATCTCTATCGCTTTTCGAAATAGGACTTCAAGAGCATTTGGCATATCTTTTTCAATAGAAACCACAAGCCCAATGAACTTCAAAGTCAGAAGGGCTCCGTCTGTTTTTAAATCTATTTCTCGCATGTTTGGAAATCTTCTAAGGAGCTTTGATTTGAACTCAATGGCTAGCTGCTCAATCCCCAAGGCCATCATGGCTAAAATTTTTTGCATAATGAAAGTCATAAACATAGGCTAATATAGGCAAATTATAGGCATACGCATCAATATCTAAAGTTGGATTTATCACACAATCACATTTTGTGATTTAAATCGGTGGCTTTGAAACATGCACTAATATTTAAATTTTTGATGAGTTTATTGATTTACACCAGCAAGGTTGGGGAATGTTCGTCAATTACTAATTCTAAAACAACTCATAGATCATGAACAGTATGTTTGCTGCAACTAATGGAATCTCCAATGTCTTGACCATTGCTATTACCTCAACAATCTTTCTGTTTGTCGGATGAAGCGCAGATCTATGCTCCTTGCGCAGCGATAGGCCAATCCTGCTCAGAAATCTTCTATCATCGAGAATTATAAATGCATTTAGAATCAGAACAACAGAGTAAAGCAAAGAAATTAGACCAAACATGGGTCTGAATTTTAAACTGGGTATAACGAAGTACTATGAGGAGCACAAGAGAAAACCACAATGCAATAGCATGGTTTACCAAGATGCTTGCCAAGGCTCATTATGCATCGTTTTAGCTATTTTCAGTCCTAACCTCCACATGGGAATTCCAAGCAAAGATAGAAGAGACTACTATTACTACCAAGCAAAAGCATTAGGATACAGAGCTAGAAGTGCATTCAAGCTGCTGGATATAAACGAAGCATACAGAATCTTGGAAAGCGCCTCTAAAGTAATTGATCTCTGTGCTGCACCGGGGTCTTGGAGTCAAGTACTGGCAAGCCACACAAAGGCTAAAATTGTTGCTGTTGACATACAGGATATGGCGCCTATCAATGGTGTCACTATTTTAAAGGAAGATATTACATCAGGTGAGTGTTTGAATAAGATCTTTGAGGTATTTGATGGTGAAAAGGCTGATTTGATTGTCTGTGATGGCGCGCCTGATGTAACTGGATTCCACGACCTGGATGAATTTTTACAGTTGGATTTGTTGAAGTCCGCCTTGCATATCTGCACAAAGACCTTAAAGACAGGCAGTAATTTTGTAGGCAAATGCTTTAGAGGTGCTTATAGTGGATACATTGTACACCACTTTTTGAAATTTTTTGACAGGGTTGATCTTGTAAAGCCAAGAGCAAGCAGACACGTGTCTATAGAGTGTTTTTTGGTATGTTTCGGGTTCAAAGATGCAAATAATAATCCATTTGAAATTGATGTCGACTGTGATCCTGTAAATGTTAGAGTGGTCACCTGTGGAGATGGGCCGGATCCAGATTTTGCAAACGAGAAGGAGGTAGAGACAATACATCCAATTTCACCACCGATCAATCCACCATATGAAGAATTGGTAGATTTTAGAAAAAGACATGGCTAGCATCTAAACCGTTATTTCTATGTTGAGTTTAAAAATTTTCAACTTTCACATTTGTGCTTTCAAGACTTTTCTCTAAGGCCCATACGGTCCTACCAATGGAAGATAAAAAGACATGTGTAGCAGATTTAGCTTCGCAAAAAGACGATAAATTGAAATTTGAGGAAAAAGTTGTGGGGTTGGACTTTGAGCAGAACATAACAATCGATGATATTCTAATGTCGTTTGCAACAACGGGATTTCAAGCCACAAACGTCCACAAGGCTATCCAAGAAATCAAAAGAATGAGACAGGCAAATGCCAGGATATATCTGGGATGTACATCCAACATGATGAGCTGCGGTGTGCGGGAAATTATTAAATTTCTTGCCAAAAGCAAGTATTTTGAAGTAATGGTTGTTACAGGTGGTGGTGTGGAAGAAGATTTGATCAAATGCATGCTGCCCACATATGTTGGGTCATTTGATTTGGATGGGCAAACGCTCAGAGACAATGGATGGAATAGAATAGGAAATCTTGTTATAAGCAATGACAACTATGCGGCTTTTGAGAGCTGGTTTAACAAAACGATGGATGAGTTGATATCAGGAGAGACAGAGGAATATCCAAATTCTAAGATCAGCCATAGAGGCACAAAGGAATACACAGAGGAGAACCCATTAATTTTGACACCATCGAAGTTTGTTAGATACCTGGGGAAGAAAATCAACAACGAGGACAGTGTGTTGTACTGGTGCTATAGAAACAACATCAATGTGTATTCACCAGCGATTACGGATGGGTCGTTGGGCGATCTTTTGACATTCTACAACAGAAAACAGGCTTTCAAGCTCGACATTGTGGAAGATATTACAGGAATTAATTTTGAGTGCTTGGGCCATAGAGAAAATGGTGCTATAATTCTTGGAGGTGGTCTTGTCAAGCATCATATTCTCAATGGAAATTTGTTTAACGATGGCCTTGATTACTGCGTGATCGTTAATACGGCAGTCGAATATGATGGGTCTGATACTGGAGCGTCACTTGGAGAAGCATACAGCTGGGGCAAGGTTAAGTCAGGAAGGACAGCTTTGAAGGTCTATGGGGATGCATCTGTGATATTCCCACTTATTGTGTATGGCGCATTTAAGTCTAAAAGGCTTTAGTTAGGTTAATAGGGCTTTCACAGCGAGGTTCTAAGAATATTATTTTAATAAATATATCCTCTTCATTTATGCACGAAAAAATCCTTCTTTATTAAGCATTGATCAATTTATTAATATATTACTTCCTATACCACCAAATAGAAGATTGATTAAGGCATCATTGGGACTTGTTAGCAAATGAGGTTTGTTTACCACGCTCACTTTCTGTCGTTTTGCCAGGTCTTTTGAATTTCCAAACAATTTCTGCTTTGGGCTGGTCCTTATGTGCCTGGAAAGTCAAGTATAAGCCAAATATGGTACTTACATAAAGGAATACAAGAAGCGCAGTCTCGAACTTCATAGACAGCAATACATCCCTGGACTTTGTATTACCGAATGTTGAATCATCTTCTATTTTGCTACAGATTATTGGATAGACTGTAATGCAGTACGCAAGATAGCCGAAAACAGTCAAAAATAGTATCTTAAAAGATTTGAACTTGTTTTCTGGCTCTGTTGTAGGATTAACATAGGAAAAAAGAGGATGTATGAGAAGTACAATGTCTATAAGAATGCAAAAAATTGCTATCTCTTTGAAGATGCCATATTCAGTCACAAAACAGGGTGTAACTGTGTTGTTAAAGTAGTAGAAGTACAGAGCAAAGATACACTTTGTCATAAGTAATGACAGGCATGGCAGCAAAGAAGCTTTTATAAACTTGTAGTACTTTTTCTTGCTGTCTCCGTGCGTCCAGAGTAAGACTATGATTGAGCATACAATAGTGGTAGCAATCGCAGGATTGATGCTTAAAGCGAACAATTTTCCTATAACAGTATGAATTTCCTCATTCCTACTAATACTTTCTCCCACTTCCCAACAGCCTTCTTTTATACTTTGGAAGATTTTCCACATGGCATCCAAAAATTTTGTGTTTTCATACACGCACCAAGAAGCATCCAGTGAGACACCTCAGCAATATGCCAGTCGCTGTCATTGCATTCTTGTTAGTATCACATAAATTGATTCAGCTTCAAGAAGTGACACCAAGGTTGAAGATGCTGGAAAACTGTGCCAAAACCAAAGCATATTACATTAAATAGTGCTGTTGGTGTTCATGCAACCAAAGAAAAGAACTGTCCTGTGGACTTTTATGCTAATCACAAAGACATATGCCTAAAGGCCTTAAGAATACCACGTGTCTCGATCTATGGGTCTAAACTTAGTTTTTCAGACAGTCGTCCGTGTCTTTTTATAGAAAAGCTATCGAAAAGATTGTTGGATCTATGCAACATAATTATTGGTTTAGTAAAGTAACAAAAATAAATTTATTGACCCACTTTTTATGACGCACAGCTTAAGCTTATAAACGCTATTAGAAAATGGTGTTGCAGAAATAGTGTGCATGTGTCTATCTGTCATTTGCGCATAAGCTTTAATTAAGGCATCGTAGTATTAAATGACTGGCTGTATTTTCATACTAGCCCATCTATATCCGATTTTACATTGCCATCGTCCACTTGATCTGGAATGGTTGTCTTTTTGTTTTTTCTTCCATCAACCTTGCTCCTCTTAAATCTTCCCAGCTGTTCAGGTTTGAAGCTGGCTGAACCAATGTAAACATCGTAGAAGTATTCAAGCTCAGCTAATGTCAAATATGCCTGTATCTCCTTTGCTATATACTCAGCATCTGCAGCCGAAATATACTTGTCCTGGCTAATAATCAGTCTAAAAAGGTGTTGCTGTAGAAACCTCACAAAACTGTGATATCCTTTAATATTCACTCTAAACTCAGCAATTGAAGAATGTCTTGGCCGCGTGGGAATTGGAATGTTGTTGTTTGTGAACAGTGTTTGATCAACAAACTCTCGGAGGTCAAACCGATCATACAAGTCAGGATTAACATCAGGTTCTATCATTCTGAGTTCATGCGAAATTTTTGGCAGTTCTATTTTCTGGTCTGTCTTATAGTTAATTGGGACCGATGGTTCGTAGTACAATGCTTTCTTCTTCCTTAAAGTAACGTTTGGATCATTCAAAAAATCTTTTATTGAATGCTCGTTTGTCCTGTTTGGAAACCGTTCGTTGCTGTAAAACGTCCTTTTGGTAAGCCTCCTACGCTCCTTGAGGGAAAGACCAGGTGTGCATTCCTCCGCGATCTGTGGCAACACCTCATCAGAAAGATGCTTAAAGAATGTGGCGTCGTTATAGATATTGAGATGGGTGGGTCGTCTTTCTGGATATCTTGGACTAAATTCGGGCAGATAAAATTTCTGGGGAATATCAGATTTTGGAATTGGCCTATTGCTATATTCATGTAGATGTTTCAGGAGGGCGTATACAAGCTGAGAGTCTGCATTTTCTGGTAGATTTTCATAGTCAACTAAGCTGTTGTTATAGGAAATAACCTTTATTAGTCTCTTCTTTATAAGATCGGCCAGTATTGCTTTCTTTTCAAATAAATTTATCTTCGATAAAAACCCGAACTTCTTCAGCTGCTCATCAACCTCCCATTCGCTCAAGCTTCCAATTGAAGAATGCAGCTCAAGTATTTCCAGCTGGTCGATATCCATCAGAATAAGAAGCTTTCTAGATTGTTTTTCAATGGGAACTGAGGATCTAAGTATTGAATTTAGATTCTTGGATAGAAAATCTGCCATTAGTTTTACGTGTGAATCGTTAAAAATTTTCTTCATAGTATTCTTCTGCTTATGTGGGTTTAAAACGAGGAAAAAATAGTCGTAGCTATCAAGATGCCATGCATGTAGACGCTGTGGGGAAGCAGAAGCGGTTATAAAAGTGCACAGAATACAAAGTAATGTTAATCTAAGGATGGTCTGTATAAAAAGAACAAATACGGCAATTTACTGTTCATTCTGGCATCATAAGCACCCTCACCCCATCATATAGAAACCAGTTCTTCAATTGTTCTTTTATTAATCTTATTGAGCTAGTGATTAGCTTTCCATTATGACTGGTTCTTGAGTATTTCTTCTTTAGTCTGTTTAACTCATTTTCCAGGTCTCCCCAGGACCGTATTTCTGCAATATTCTGAATGGTGGAGTCAAATAGATGTTCAATGTTAAAGGAGGCAATAATATTCCTTATAACATCAACAGAATTAATCAAAGGAGACTCAAAAATTGAGGTCTGTTCTTTCTTAAAGCTGTCTATCTCTTTCTGAAGCTGCTGTGCCATCCCAGCTATCACAGACCTCGAATCATTGTACTTAAGACAATTGGAGCATATCCTTTCAAGACTAATTATAAAAGCATCTATGCTCTGGTAGACAGACAGATTCGCTTCAATATCATGGAAGCTGACAGGATGCCGTACAATATCGGCATAGTTCTTAAGCTCCGTGGTATCAACAGGGTAGCAAAAGGCTGCATATGAGGGGTTGTCTTTTAGTCGTTCTAGGAAACCTCCACATATTCTCCTACTCTCCTCAGTCATAGGACGTATCTTCTCTTTGATAAACGCATTGTTCAAGAAGACATACTCAATGTAGCTGTAAAGGGACTTAGCTGTTTGATACATCTTGCTTACGACTAGATTGTAGCTAAGGACAAAAATCAGAGACTTTTCTACTTCCTGGAACACCTGAACATAAGTCAAATTAGTGGCTATTTCATCTTGGCCATCTGCAGGCATTTTATGGGTATGCACAACTTCTAGAATCTGATCTGACGTCAGTGGATCCCACTGGAAAAATCCTGTAGGCTTACTTTTCGAAATGCACTCATCTATCTTCTCGGACCCCTTGTTTTCTCTATACTTATTTATAAGCATTAGTGCAATGTCACTCTTCTTTACCCTAATTTTAGTTTTCTTTATTTTGAATCGTATAATGTATTCGTTTGTGTGCTTGACTAAATATCGTGGAGGAGTCAGCCTTATCTTTAAGCATTTGAACAGTGGGACAGAATCCTTAATGGTTTTGCTTCTAAAGTTCTTTATTCTGGGGAGTCTCAACGTATAGGATTCCTCAAAAGCAGCAATCCTCAGTTCCTGGAAATTGCTGATTCTAATCCTCTTTGTGGCAGAAGGCATTTTGAGAATGGAAAGTCTATTGTCATTCTCTCTGGCATAGTCGTATTTAGAAATAATATATTCTGAATAGTCAGAGAGGATAAGAAACTTACCCTCAATCATTGAAAACATCTTCTGGACCAGATCTGCTATGCCAACATGGAATGGATGATGTTTGTATATGCTGTAAAGAGTTTCGGTACATTTAGAAAGGCATACTCTCAACCTTTCTGTTAAATTCACTTCATATTCATTTGTATCTAGTAAATGCACTCTTAGATTTAAAAGCATTATTCTAAGGATAATTCCAAGTATTGATTTGGCAACAAAGGATGTCTCTTCTAATGCCAAGGACAGCACAAAGGGAAGAGCGTCAGAGAAGAGAAGAATGAGCCCTTCAATAGCAACAAACCTGACAGAATGCAGATTTGGGTACCTGCAGAGATTTTCCAGGGTAGATCGTTTGATGCTTACTTTGTTATAAAAAGCCAATCTAATGTAAGAAAGAATACAAATTTTAGTGATAATGTTATTGTTGGAAGGGAACACCATGTCGGAAATTCTGAATCTTTCTAGCTCACTGATGCATCTGCTTAACAGCTGTTCGCAGTTTGCATTATTCTTATCACTCTTATTGATACTAGTATTCATGTTGGCAACTTCAGCTTCATTAAAATTGGTTCTAATAGTGTCATATGCATAATTAGCAGTGTAGTTAATATTTTTATGAAACGTGCTGTCAATATGACCCACAACATCACCAAAATCCACATCGTTTCCACTGCTAAATGCAATGCTGTTTATCACTCGTTCAGACTCTGAAGCGGGCGAGTTATAGCACATTAGAAAGCATGTGTGGATACAAAATAAGTTAATGGCATTAGCAACATACCATGAATCCTCGAATTGGCTCAGAGAATTGTCGTTGAATTTTAGAATGTTTTCCAAGAAGGCCAAGACTATTTTAGAGTTTGAAATCACACACTCTTCTTTAAAGTTGATTTGAGAAATACTATCAACAAGATGCTTTTGAATGAAGTAGGAAATAAGCCCAAACTCGTTACTCTTCAAAATAGTAGAATTAGGAACACAGTAGGTTCTTATAAAATACTGAATGATTCTTTGAAGACCATCATAGTCCTCAATTTTGATTGATCTGAGGATATAGGCTATCTTTGCTCTGATCTTATAGAATATGTGGAAATTATCGAGAAGCCTCTCAAGAGCCTCGCAGGAGGAGAGTGATGGCTTTGTCCCCAGATTGTAAATGGCCTCTAGCTGTCCTATAACACTTTTGTCTTGTAGCTGCTCAATGTGCATGTAGTCGGGCTGTTCTACTGTATACTCAAATATATTCAATCTCTTAGGATCTACACGTATGTAAAGTAAAGGCATTGTTTCCTCTTCATCATCTTTTTTCTTCTTTTTTGTTCTCGTATGGTAGTAGAATACATTCTCGTTTCCAAAAGCAATGGAATGGTCAAAGCCACCCTCCAATTCTACAGATTTGATATCTACATTGCCAAGCAGTCTCTTGTTTGCACCAGGCAAGAGGGATGTGGATGTGTAGGATGCATTAACCTTAACGCTGTTCTTCTTTTTATTTATTTGGAACTGAAGCTTAACCCGCATGAGCCCAGGCCTGAATACATAGAAATCAAAGAAGGATCTGAGATCTTTGCCTGTGGCATCTTTGACTATTTTAATAAACCGGGGTGTGAAACATCTTTTGAGGTCTTGAAAGGTAGTATGAGAGGATATTTCAGCATTGCTAATGGCCCATATGCTGTGAGTATTGCTGCTGTCATTGGCACCATTGTTAATACTATTATTGGATGTTGGCACATCAATGTTACTGTTAGCATTGCTTGAATTGCTAGATGCACTGCCACTGTCCTTTGCTACGCTTCGCAGCTCTATTAGCTCATCTGATATCTTCTGAAGGAATGCAAAGCTAAGATTGGCTTCCATCGAGTGAAACACAAGTCTAGCTTTCTTTCTAAAAAATTCGGAATGCACCTCACTTTCTTTTCTAAAAGTGTAGAAAAGAGGATACTCATGAACATCTTCGTTGACCACAAACTGCTTATCTTCAAAATAGTTATAAAGAAATTCATTGTTTCCAAGAAGATAGCGAATACAATAGTCGCTAAGGTATCCTGAAAATCCAAAATAAATCCAAGAATCATAAGCGCTCCAGTTAAGAAAGTGGTATACCTGCTGGCAAAGAGACTCTGACAGAATCTTCTTCAGAAAATATGCCATTTCAATGTCTCTTTGAGAGGGAAGATAGGTGTATTTAAGAACAACCATATTCTTGGCAACAAGATTTTCAACATCGATGAGGCTAAACACAATATTGCAGGTAGAAAGCTCCTGGGTCTTGGTGAATCCCTCTATATACTTAATAAGAGCTTGAAGGTCGTTCTGAACTTCAGAGTGATCTGTTGATATGCCCTCTGCTGTCATAATATAGGGTATAAGCATCTTTCTCTGATCGTTATCATTGAATATATCACTTTGGTTGTAGGTTCCGACAGCAAACATAAAGTATTTTGGGTGGGAAAAGGCGCTGTAAAGGTAAATAATCATTTTGTCCTCCTCCTTTATTGATTTAAAGGATCCAGAACTAACTACCTTAACCTCCTCAATGTTAGGAATAACATAGTACAGATCAACATTGGTGATGGTGTCTATGTATGGTGCAGCACTGGAAGAGTTATTGTAAAAATTGCATGCAACTACCTCTTTGTGTTTATCTTTATTTGAGACTGGCCTATACCAGAGAATAGCCGGATTATCGGGAGATGGCTTGAATACGATCCTTACTTTTATATTGGAATCTAGACAGTTCTCAGGTATTTTAATTCTAAATGCATCATGTATGAATGCTTTGGCATCAAAAAAAGCCAATTCGCCGGCATCGTTGTTAACCGCCACCATGTCACTGGTATCCATCACTGTGCTGTTATTACTCGTGTCATTGTTGTATAAAGTGGTGATGCATGAAAAATCATTATTTCTAGTAGACAAATTAGCATTTGGATTAAGGATGCTTAGGTCAGCAGAGTGCTTAGACGTGGCGCCATAAATATTTGGGTTTTTTCTTATTTTAATCTTTGCTCCCAGCTTTGCATTCTTAGCTTTATCCTTTGTGTGTTTTGTGTTGTAGTGTTCAATTTCCATTGGCTCAGAAGTCTCCAGTAAGATCACCTCTTCAATTTCCAGATGGGAAGACTTGTATGTAATGTACTTTTCATGGCTTTCCCTGGAAAGAGAGGTTTCAACATATCCTCGGTACAGGTTTTTATTCAAATCCAAGTAGTATACATTTTTTTGATGTGTAACTTTCATGGAGGGTATGGAGAAAGAACAATGAACAGAGATCTAAAAAATTTATTTACAGAGGGCATGCGATGATATTTAGATAGTCTCAATTTACATTCAAAGTAATATTCTGCGGTAGCATTCTATACCAAAGCCTTAGTTTATTTGTCAGAAGACGGATCTTCCTGGCCAACTACAGTCAAGAGAAAACTTTCTATATTAATTTGTCACTTCTGTGTCAACTTTATTATCCAATATTGATTCTATATCGGCCTTTTGGCGAAGGACAGGTTGGGTGTTGCAGTCATGCATATTGCTGTGTTTCTATCCCACTTTATGTGAACCATATTTTACATTCTTAGCCATTCTATTTTATGCCCTTATTTTTTCCATTTGTACTTTTGTTTGCTTGATAAGATCATCAAAACCACTATAAAAGCAAGTGTAATATAAATATGCAATCAATATGCAGTAGCCAACTTTAGATCCAAAGGACATTTACCAGACCATCTTCTCCGTCATTTGTCTCTATTTTTTTGCTTTTTTTAAGCCCATTAATGGCAAAGTCAAGTAGATTGCATGACAAGAGATTCAAAAAGAAATTTAAGGAATGCATCCTGCAATTGGAAACCATGCTCAGCACCAATGGAATCTATTCCAAACAGAAAATTCTCCTTTCCAATCTCCTGGAAGACCTTAGAACACAGCCAATGCTTGACTCAGAAAACTCGTCAAATGTTGAAGTAAAAAATATGTGGGGACAGAAAGACCTCCAGACTGTCCTGAAGGAAAGAAATGACAGAATTTACAATCTTGAGAATGAGCTAGAGGAAATGAGAAGCATGAACTCCAAGCTTTCCGAAGAGAGAAAAAGAATCAAAACGTCTGTTTTAAACAGCAATGGGTCGGAAACCTTGGAAAAGATTATTGAAACGAAAAACAAAGAGCTTTTTAAGGTGAGTTCTGAACTTGAAGGATGCAAAAGCAAAATAAAAGACCTAGAAAATCAGCTTCAAATACAAAAGGAGTCCTGTAATATTTTAAAAGACTCCAACAAAAGGCTTTCAGATATTACCAATAAGAGAAGCCCTCCTCTCATCAATAGAGATTTTCTGCTAGATATTCAGAAATCTATTGATTCTGAACAAGAGCTAATAAAGTTCAAGACGTTGAATGCAGAGCTTGAAAGGGAGCTATCTGTGTTACAGGAAAAGAATAATGTTCTAGAGCAGAGAATTGAGGCTCTTACACAGCTTATCTCAGACTATGAAAGCAAGATAAGGATTAGAGGAACCACAGAAAAATTAGTAAACACAAATGATACTGAGAATGCACTGATGGAAGAGCTTGAAAACATAACAACAGCCTATGATCAAATTTTGGCTGCAAACAAGAAGCTCGAAGAAAGCCTGTCAGAATCACTAAGAAATGCCTCGGAGCACAGGACCGAAAACATTAATCTGAAATGTAAGATCAAGGCCTTAGAAGATAGCAAGCAGTATGTTGAAAGGGAGAAGAGAAGACTAGGTGAATGGAAAGATACTCTTCTAAATGAAACAAGGAGCCTTGAGGAGAAGATTACCAACTTTGATATTCAGTCCTGTGAAAAGGACAGGAAGATCAATGACTATAAGGTTTTGCTAACAACATTGCAGTCCAATATTAGAATACTTGAAAATGAAGTTAATACCATCAATATTGCTTACAGACAGGCACAGAGTGAACTATTTGAGATAAAAAGCGATATTAGGGCACTTCAGGTGGAGTACGGTGATATTAAAAGGATATGCGAGACTTATAAAGGTTTATGTACGGCAGACATTGACATTATTGAGGAGGTTGAACGGTACAAGAAGGTTCTACGATGCTCTTTGTGTGACACAAATATCAAGAATAGTGTTATTTCCAAGTGTATGCATACGTTTTGCGATTCTTGTCTGAATAGCAGGCTCAAAGCAAGACAAAGGAAGTGTCCAAGCTGTCAAATAGAGTTTAATTCAAATGATGTTAAGAAAGTATATTTCTAGGCAAGTAAATCTTCACAGCCAGCAAGGCCAATACTGTGCAGTATTCTATGGCTAGTTAAGTATTAAATTGATGGTCAATTTAAGATGCTAATATGCGTATTCAGTCCTTTATTTTAGACAACCCTCGCCTTAGTTTTTCAATATGCTTTTATTATTGAGACTTCATGCATCAGAACTAGATTAGATCAGCTATGCGCAAGTAAATATGCCCAACATTGAAGCCGAGAAGATGGCCTTGCAATAAATAAAAATAGTTTATTAGTATTGTGCATGGACAAGAATAACTGTCATCTGACAGCTTTTATTTTTTTCATTTCAGCCCCAGCTCCCGAAATAACTGGCCATGGTCATCGAAATCAGTCTGGCTCCTATGCTAAAGATAACAACACCATATTTCAGAATGTTGATCAGAAAGACATCTCCCGATGTTGTACTTTTCACTGAAATGATTGTATCGTCGACTGTTGTAAATGTCACGAATCAGAGGCTCCAGTTCATTCTGGGAAGCCCAGAAGATAAAACAGTAGTACAAATTGGAGGATCAAATCCGGAGGAAATAGCCGAGAGCGTTAAAATATTACAGAAAATGGGCTGGAGACGCTTTAATCTTAACTGTGGATGTCCCTCAGATAGAGTGCAGTCTGGTAAATTTGGTGCCATTCTGATGCTGGAAAAGGAAAGAGTGGCTGAGATAGTCAATGCAGTTCATAACAACACTGGGGCAGTTTTATCATTGAAGATTCGTACGGGCGTCGATGAGAATGATTCTTTTGAATTCTTCAAGGATTTTATAAGGTATATATCTGAGAATACACCCTGCTTTAGGTTCTATGTGCATGCCAGAAAGTGCTGGCTGCACGGACTCAATCCAAAACAGAATAGAAACGTCCCGCCACTGGCATACCAATATGTTTACGATATTAAAGCCCTCTTCCCCCATCTTTTTATAAGTTTGAATGGAGGAATAAGGGAAGATGGAATGGAAATAGTGCGGAACTTAGATGGGATAATGATTGGCAGACATGCCTGGGATAATGTTAGAATATTTGTGCAAATGTGCAGCGCTAACATTAATATGAAGCAAGTTGTAAAAGAATATATTGAAGAGGCATCAAAACTCGAGCCACCAAAGTACCGTTTGATGATGCCTTTGATAAACTATCGGAAGGGAAGATCTCTTAACAAGGTATTTAAGCAGATTGTTAATAATATAATACAGAATGATACTCCATATTCGGAGATCTACTCAAAACTAGAACCTTACATTGACTAGAACAGATACTGTTATGGCTGGGGCCTGTGTGTTAGTTTTTCAATAAATTATGGTGAGTGTTGCAACTGTGGTTTTGACTTGCTTGAAGATCTACTCTATACTCTCCCATTAGCCGAGATGGCATTAGAATCTTTCATTAAAAGAATGGTTATTTACAGGTCTATCATTGCTTAGTCCTGGGCTTCTATAGCTTCTAGCCTCTGGTACTGGAATAAAAGTACGGATCAGGTGATATGTATGTAATTCCATTAAGAAAGTTCCTGGATCCTATCGCTGTTTTGCGTATTTCAAAGTAGCTGATGCCATCTATAAACGAATAGGAGTTGGCTTATCAGACATTCTACTCGGCCTCTAGTTTAAGTTCTAAAACTTGCACTTCCCATTGTGTTTTGGATGAGGAAATCTCTGAAGAACCAGGATCAAACGGACATCTCAGAAGTCCCGGTTTGCAAGCGAATACTTGATTCGACAATAACTGTAGACTGCTTTGATCTTAAAATAACTAATTGCACGCACTATTTTCTTTCCCACTTTCACGCCGACCACTACACAAAACTGAACAAGTCCTTTGAGTTTCCAGTATTCTGTTCAAAAACCACGTCAGAGCTTGTATGTGCAGCACTTGGTGCAAAGGCAGTTGGGCTTGAAATGTATACAAGCTATGACTTTGGTAGTTTCGTAGTTCGGCTCATTGAGGCCAACCACTGCCCTGGTGCTGTGTGCTTTATATTTCTGATAAACAATCAATTTGTCCTGCATACTGGTGACTTCAGGTATTGCAAAGTATACCACACTCTTGATATCAGCTTTAAATGTGTGTATCTTGACAATACATATCAAAACTTCATTTCATTTCCATCGCAAAAAGAGGCTATTTCAAAAATTCTGCAAAGGCTTGATCAAGATAATAGACTGTGCAGACTAAATGTTTGTGTCCTATGTTGCACATACCGCATTGGAAAGGAAAAGATATTTTTGTCCATTGCTGAATATCTTAACGAGAAAGTCCAAGTCACCGAGGACAAGTATGATATTTACAAGTGCTACAGTAGATACACAGTCGATAAAATCAATAGAGATGTGGCAGAAATAGTGAATGAGAGGAGAATGAGTACAAAGACATTTGGATTCGTTAAAAGTGTAACGCTGACAAGAACGCTTCGGACAATCCAAAAGAAAGGCGCATTTAGGAAGACAAAAATGAGCCTGGAGCCGCCAGAAATAGTCAAATATAAAAATGAGCACACCGAACTTTTAGAACAAGTCAACTTTAAAGCCACTCTATGCGAAAGTGCATTGAACATCTCGTGTCCGATTCGAAATAAAGCTCATATACTGTTTAAAGAAAATGCTAAAAATGTGGACTGCGACAGCCTAAGGCTTTATGACGAGTCTTTTTCAGTGTCCGGCTGTGGTTTGGACAATAGCACTGGATCGTTGCGACTTAAACCCTTTGATCGCATCACAACTGAAGAAGCACCCGTCAAAGTCATCAGTACTGCTGATTTGCGCAAACTAAACGAAATTGCTTCAAAAATATATGCTGACAAAATTATTGTGTTGTGTGGGTCAGGCTGGAAAGAAAAGCAAGAATACAAAACATACAGCAGAATGGATGGGAAAAATATAAAAAAAGGGATTGAAATAGTCTATTTTAGATACTCTGAGCATTCCAGCTCGCAAGAACTCGAGGAATTCAAAAGGTCTATTTCATCGAAGTATTTTATTAACACAGTTGTAAACAAACCATTGTGGAAAGGGCAGGGACATCAACTTCATGAAACGAGAAAATAGCTAACAACAGTATTAAAAGTTAAACAAACCATTTATTGACGGTAATTAAACCTGGGAATGTCAAATTTCACTATAAAATCGACCACTCTCCTTTTCAAGTCTGCTATTCTCGAGTCCTTCTCGGCTTTTTGCAAAAACGTCTCGGTATCAAGCTTGCCTGTCTCAGAGTCGCGGCTTGAAAGTGAAAGCTCGGTTGAGAGTTTAATGGCCTCATCAACAAGCAAGCAGACCCTAACAATATCCTCTTTGCACAGCCCTCTTGTTGTTAATGCAGGCGTGCCCAACCGAATTCCTGAAGGTCTTAACGGGGATGTATCCGTAGCAATACAGTTCTTATTCAGATAAATATTAGCCATCTCACACACTTTTTCAACTTCATAACCCCCAACCTTTTCAAGACAAACCAAAATGAGGTGAGACATGGTCCCGCCAGAATAAAGCCTGTATCCCATCTTTTTGAACTGATCCGACATTGTTTGTGCATTCTCATACACATTTTTGACATAGGTGCGATACTCTTCTGTATTTGCTTGTTTCAAAGCCACAGCAAGTGCAGCTATCTTCTGGTTATGGGGTCCTCCCTGTAGTCCTGGAAATACTGCGAAATCAATCAGAGACTTGATATCCACCTCCGTTCCGTTTTTCAAAGCTTTCTTTTTGTAAAATATCATAGCGCTTCTTGGTCCTCGCAAAATTTTGTGTGTCGTGGTTGTCACAACATCGCAGTACTCAAATGGATTGTTCATCAGTCCTGCTGCTATCAGCCCCGAAATGTGAGCCATGTCCATCATCAGATAGGCGTCCTTTGCTATCTCTCGGAACCTCCTATAGTCAAAGTCGCAAGGATAGGCTGATCCACCGCAAATTATTAAATCAGGTTTAAACTCGCTTGCGTCCTTTTCAAGTTTTTCATAGTCAATCTGGCCATCACCCCCGTTCTTGTATAGCCTTGAATTGAAAAATATACTCGAGGCCGATATCTTCTTCTTCTGTGTTTGATAGCCGTGGGATAAATGGCCACCTGAGGGGAGATCAAGTCCCATTATCTTGCCGTCTTTACCAACGAGTGCCGTATACACTGCTATATTGGCGGCTGTCCCGGAGAGCGTCTGCACATTCACATCCCAGACATTTGGATCAAGATTGAACACCTCCAGAGCTCTGGTTTTGCAAATGGTCTCAATGGCATCAATGTACTCATTACCACCGTAATATCTTTGGCCAACCTGTCCTTCAGAGTACTTGTTGGTCAAAACCGAAGCATTTGCCTGAAGAACACTAACCGAGGCAAAATTCTCGCTTGCTATCAATTCGAGTCCCTGTCTTTGTCTTTCTTCCTCTGCCTTTATGAGACTATCAATTTCTGGGTCGAAGTTTTCCAGTCTTTCGTAAATCATCATTAGGGAGGCAAAAAATTTCTGTAACTTGCACTGGCCAATTTCCCATCTCTAGAATGAAGTACTTAGACTACGGCAGTCAATATTATTGTACATTTTGTATATTAAAACCAACTAATAAATATACATTAACAGAATAATTTACATACTTAGTACTTTATTACTTTAATGCATATGTTTCTGGAAACTTCTGGTTGCTGCATTCCGAGTCATCTTCAGTTGCACCTACACATGGTGGATTAGTAGTAACACTGTCTGCACATTGTGGTTTGGCAGGACTACATGTCTGTGGTTTTCTACAATTACAGGATGTGCTAGTACTATTGCAAGGCTGTGCGGGTCTTTTGCACTCTTCACAGCTTGTACTGCCAAACACCGCACATGTTCCGGGACGAGAAGCGAATTCACTTTTGCAAGATGTTCCACATTGATTCTTAGGGCATTTCTTTTCACAAGATGTCTTGGTTTCATCTTCGCATTTTCTCGTACACACCGCACATCCATCTACTTTACTATTGCATGATTTTTCGTTTCCAGTTTCACTATTCTTATTTTCGCAGCTAGTTGGCTTTGCATTTGGCTCTCTTGCGTTCTTTGTGCTGGGAGATAAAAACTGTGATATTGGATCGTACAAATCCTCACCAGACTCCTCAGTTTTAGAAAGGTTTGAGGCTAAGAACTTGTTTGTAGGTTTAACGCTGACTCTATTGCGTTGGATAGCATCAACAAGGGGGGCATAAGCATTGTACGTTATTGCAGTGGCTTGCCTAATTTCATTATTTGTCAGCAACCTTTGTGTATCTCCGTTTATGACTGTGCCGATCTGTCTATTAGCATTGTTAAACATGTCGATGTATTTAATAAAGTTATCAAATGATACATACTCCTCGTTGTACAGTCCAAACTTCTCGACAGACCCATCATAAACCATTCTTACAAATTCATTTTGATGTTTGTCCTTCCATATTTCTAGAAACACTGCACTGGTGTACGAAGGAAGCTTTTTGATATCAGCATTCAAGCTGCTAAGAATCTTCACGATCAAGGAATCGTGGCCAGAAATAAGCGTTATTGCTCGCCTCTTCAACATTTCCTTCTTTAAAAACTCACCGAACTCACCCAGCGTTATGCCCATTGCCATTATGTTTGATCGTATTAGGTTTACATATTCCAAAAGGTCGTTCTGTTGATCAGTAACAAATGACAAAATCTTTTTTGGATCGCAGCTGAATTTCGAGCAGCTGAAAGGTGTTTCTGAGCAGAAATCGGCAATTATCTCGTCATAGATTTTGTATTCCTGTAAGTTTCTCTTTTTGAACTCGCTTAATTTTGCATTCAGAATGATATTCTTCAATATTTTTACATTTGAAGCAGAGACTATTGAATTTTCCCTAAAAATTTCATAGTGCCACTCGTTTAAACCTGCCAAAACACCATGCAATGTGCTGATGCTTCGCTCATAACTGGAGTGGTATCCTGTCAGGGAATCCAATATATGAAATTTAGCGCGGTAGTACTTTTTAATGTATTTTCCCAGTTTCTTTGCCTGAATGTATCCCTTCTTCGTCAGCATTCCATCGCTGCAAGGCTGTGATCTGCATGTTTCATCGCACTTAATACAGGATTTTTTCCTCCAAACATCACTCTCTACGGTTAAAGGTGCCCTATCTCCATGCCTAAATATTGCCACCAATCCAACGAGCTCAGCAGGATTGTCTGTGAATGATTGCGTTGCACTGCAGTTCCTATCTAAGGAACTTAGTTCACTAACATCCCTTAGCTGTAACGTCTTTTTAAGTGCCAGTACGGATGCTATAAATATCCACATGGGGCAGACACAGCTCTTCAATATAAAACCACCTATTCGCCTTATTGGACAAAGTTGTTCCAAATAAATTATTCGTATTTTCATTTATAAATGCACGTTTCGGACCCGTTTTACAAAATAGCTTGATAATTTCAACCATGAATAGCTGTTAATGCAATAAACTACTGGTGGACATAATTGAAATTAATGTTTCATCGTCGGGTGGCGTCAACTATAATTAACAAGTATACAATAAATCAAAATTAATATCAAACAAGTAAAGCTGGATGCTAGCAATATTATTATTATTTATTCGTCGTCGCTCTGAAGTTTAGTAACCTTGGCCTCCCCATCTTCGATCTCTTCCCAAGAAAGCTTAATCTTTCTCCTATCCTGTGTCTTTATTACCATCCCTCTCTGGTTAACAGAAACGATGGTTCCTTTGTACTTTTTTCTGTCAACAATGCAAGATACAGCATCATTTCGTTTAAAGTTTTCTGGTCCAAAGCCCTCTTCTTCTTTAATACCCTCATATATCAAATTTAAATCCTCAGAAATTGCTCTATACGATAGGCCTTGGAATTCAAAGTTCTTAAATGAATGAGGCTTTCTTCTTTTTACATTTTCTGATTTTTCCTCGATCCTTTTCTGGTCTAGTTCGTTTTCAACATCAATATAGAATTTAAGACACTTAATGTAAGCCTCTGCTGCCTTATCCATTCTTTCTTCCATCTGAGATAACTGTGTATTGACTTTTTGCAACTTTTTAGCTTGATTATTTTCATCAATTTCAATTGCCATTCTGGGGAAAAATAAACAAATTAACTGAAAAGAAAAACTGAAACTAGGTAGTATGTCTGTTCATAAACTTCACCACTCAGCACCGATTTTAAGGGATTATTTGAGAAATATTAAAAATCCATAAAATTTAATAAAAATTAAACCACAAACAACCACATATTCATGTCAATAAATACCAGGGCAGCTTAGTGAAGCCAGGCAGCCTACTTGCATGTAACATTCATAGCGTGTGTGCTTAAACTTGAATTTTGGTGGAAATATGGCTGCATCTAATGCACAAGACAACTTGAGCGAAGGGTATTTAATAATATCGGAATGCAAACAAATCAGCATTCGATTGAAAGTTTAAATGGTAAAGCCGCGGAAGACAGATTTATTTATTCAATAATCGCCTTTCCTGATCTCTTAGCTGTTTCTTTAGTGACAAGCTTTATATACTGGTTTACAATACCTGCTGCAAGGAATACATTGCTGCCCGAGCCTACAACTGAAAATAGATCACAGAAAAGAACCACAAATGAGGTCAGAAGCCCACTGAGGAATGCTGCTGTTGGAACGTACTCATTAAGTTTATCGACAGCATTCGTGTCTCGAATGCCCTTAAGTTGCATATCCTTGGCCTTAATTCTCTTAAATACAACTTCTGCATTTTCCTCCTGGGACTCAAGAAGCGAGACAGCTAGAAATGCAGAAGAGCACAGCATTATACAGCAATATAATGCAAAGAAAATGGGTCTTGTGAACATGTCAGTATACGAGTTTGGCGGGAAAATGTAATAACAAAGACCTGAAACAGGTGCAAATCCAACTTTAGGCTTCTGCTCCCAGATCCCGAAGAGGCGTACAAATAAGTTCTTGGGAAAGAACTTGTAGAGTAGTCTAGAAACGTTGAAAAATTGAGTAACAATGGTGTTTTGGAAGAGAATAGGATTTGTCGAGGAGTACATTAGATTAATTGGATAAGAGCTTACAATCCCCTTGTGCTTACGAGAGATGATTGGCAACTCAACCCTGATTGATTGGACGTACACAACAAAGCTAAAAATAATAAAAGTAAATATAAGAGAGGAGAGGTTTGGCAAATTTTCACGAAACATAATCTCATACAAAGCAGCAAGCTTATTTCTTCTGGCAAATAATAGATGGACAGTAGCTACCAGACACCCCTCAAACTCTAATCCCCTGCCAGTATAGAACACCTTTGGGCTAATAGCATTCCAGATGATTCTTTCGCAAACATTAGCAACAATGAAGAGATTAACACCATTGCCAATTCCGTAGCCCTTCTGCAGGAGTTCATCCAGTAATATTACTAGAATTCCTGAAATAATCAGTTGGAAGACAATAAGACAGCAGCTAGCCTTAGTTAGTGTTTCAAAAGGGCCATAGAAACCCGTAATGATTTGGACCAGGGCCTGGCCCACGGTCAAAAGTAAGGCAATAAGCTTCTGTAGAGAGTCGTGGAGAATCTTGTCCTCAGGTATATTAAAGTCTGGCTCGATAATCTTTGATGAGGTAAGGAGCTGCATTATGACAGAGGCTGTAACGACAGGCCCTGTGCCAAGATCCATGAGTGTGCCTCTGCTAGAGGCTATTAGAATTCTAAGCCATTGGGTGTGATCCTGGATGTTAGTTGTGAGGATTCCGTAGAGCGGGATCTGAGATGCAACCAAGTATATCAAGACGGCTAGGACAGTCCATATGAACTTCTCTCGAAGAGAGGGTGTCCTTGCTGGACTTCTCACCTGCGGCAAGATTGGCACGAAGGGCCTTACCAAGAGCAGAAGGTTTGAAAACAAAGACCGAGCTTTCTTTGGTTCAGTTGCCATGGGGGCATAAATTTTTACTAACAAAAGAGTGGCCATTGTAATCAATTCTGTGTAGTGAAAAGCAACGAGCAGATTTACGAGTAATCAAGAGACAACTTGGACCATAAATACCAAAATATCGGCTTGTATTGTTTAATATATGATCGGCAGTGCTGTCTAAAGCCTATAATAAGATTTGTTTGAGGTTTATACAAGACAGCTGTGAGGAAAGAGACAAGTTAAGGGAACATTTTGCTTGTTTGATCAAAAAACTTGCAAATCAGTAATCTATCTACTCTGGAAGCTCGAAATATCTTGGAAGGCTAATATTCTCTAGCAGAAATGCTCTAATATTGTTAAAACTGGAGTGATGCTGTTAAAAATGCGAATCATCTGTGGTTGTGTTATTTGTTCAAATACAATTCCCTGCAGTATTTTTGCTGGTTCATCTTACCCATCCATGGATCAAAAAAACAGAAAGGACACACTCAATGATGAGAGCTTTGAGGATATAATTAGCTGGGGCTCTCCACTGAGCAGAGACTCGGACAATATCACATCATCTCCCAACACGCCAGTGAATAGCGCTTTGGACTTCTTGGATGATGAAGAGGATTTTCAAATAATGAACACAGCCAAGAACTCAGGCAAGTCTAGTGGTAAAGGGAATCAAATATCTGGGTTGGCTATGAAACATGAAGCCAAGCCGGATGCTTTTGGCAGCACAACAAGTGAGAATACAAGTGATCGTCTTACTACAAGTGAGACGTACAGCTCAAACATAGGGGAAGTAAAAGAGCTAAACATCATTTCTAGAAGCTTATTTGATTCTGACGAAGCAGAAGATTTTGGCATTCTAAAAAATGTGCAAGGGAAGAAAGCGACAGACAAAGAAGAATGTGAACCAAATGCCAAAGATCAGCCACAATTAGCTCCTGTGCCTACTATTTCTTCCTCAACTGATAGTGATAATGATACTAAAAACCCCAGGACAATGCAAAATGATATCGAGGATACTCTAAATTCTGACTTTGATTTTTCGCCTTCTTCAATTGAGAATATATGTAAATCGACCGCCAACAATGAAACCAAGCCAAGGATTAGTGACAATGAGACAAAGACAGCTCCCAACATTGCAGAAAGCTTCACGGATGAGGACGCAACATCGCATTTTACCTTATCTGATTCACATGAAAAAGCACCAAAGTTTACGGATTTTCTATCTTCTGAATCTGAAGATTTTAATATCTCAGCTAGTGTTCACGAAAAACCCAATGTCTCTAGTTCACAACAAAGTGGTGTTAATAGCCACATTAACCTGCCAGTATCTTCCGAAAATAAAGATATCTACTATGAAACCTTGGCTGTTGATGAAAACCAGCCGAAGGATGCTACATTGCAGGAGAATGAAAAGAGAGCAGAGCATGTCTTTTTGGATCAAGATGGCACTAACAACAGCTCTATTAATTTTAATAATGAGCCAGAGGATGCTCATGGTACAAGCACACGGACAGTGCATTTCTCAGATAGAAAAGATCTGGGAAACAACATGCCGGTTGGTGTCCATATGCTTACCACAAAGAATGCCACCGCTGATCTACGAACAATTTCAGGCACAGTCAGAATGGTGCCCGAAAGCCATGAGTTCACAAGTACAAACAGCCTTGGTCCATCGCAGTCCACAAAGCCACAAAGCACTATTCTTGTAAAACACATTGGCGATGTCATTATCAAGTATTACAGAACAACAACTAAAAGGTATTCAAGCCATTCTTTGGTTGATAAAGTAATCTACATTATAGAGACGCACAGACCCGCCATTGCTGAGATCAATGATAATAGCTTTAAAAATAGAACAATTGTTGATATTGCAAACTCTCACATTAAAAATATTCAATCCGACTATTCAAAGATCAAAGATATTCTAAAGCTCAGAGATGAAGAAATATTCATCCATAACGTTACCTTTTCTATTTGCAAGGAAGATTTAAACTCATTGGTGTCTGATAAAAAGACTCTTTTTTCAACCACCGAGGATGTTTACAAGCACATCGAAAATGCAAAGTCTTTATCTCCGCTTGAGCTAAATGTTCTTAGATACAAAATGGGCCTTGGCTATTCGCTTCGCAGCAAGGATCTTTCTCCCAATCTTCTGAGGCAGGTTGTGCACATAGACAATCCCGAACTCACAAAGACATTTATCCTCAGTCAAACTAATAGAATAGTATTTTTGATAATTTTCTTTAAACTTGGAATGATCAATCTAAAAGACTTTGAATTTATATACTCCAAAAACCTATTTTACCAGTACGTTTTATCAAAGATCGGAGTCAATTCTGTAAAGACAAAAGAACCGAGAAACAAATGGAATGTCAGAAATATTGTTGATTTTGGAATTTCTAAGATCTTAAATGTTGAGAAGCCCAGGATGCAGGATAGTCCGTTGGAGGACATTGCCAGATCAGGAAAGGGCATTATCATTCCGCAAAAAAAAGATATTGTAAAGGTTGAAAACAGCTTTATGATTAATGGCAAAGGTGAAAAGAATGGCAATAGTTCAGTGATAGAAAACACCAGCAATAAGCTGAGCACTAACAAGATTGAGGACGATAGTAGTCTACTAACAAAGGAAGCCAATTGGCCTGTAAAACAGTCCAGTCTATCCCCGAATGTGCCAAAAAGTTCAATTTTTGATGAGTCAGATGAAGAAGAGAATTTATTTGATAGAGTAAAGCCCTCGAGTATTGAAAGTAATGCACCCTCCACATCTGCAACTGCTTCTATACTTTTGTCGCCATCCGAGCCCAAAAAAGACCCAGCCAGTAAAGTAAATAAAGGTGCAGCTTTCAAGCCAACAGTATCTGCCAGTAGCTTAGAAAAGAATGATGCTACTACAGAGAACAGCGCTTTAACGAGGACTGTCAATGAAAGCAAAGACAACAGCACTTTGAAATCCGATGTTGAACAGCCTCAGCTACCAATAGAGAGTGATACTGATAGAGGCCACGACGATCTGGTCAGTGCTCCCGAAGAGGCATCCCAGTCGGATGTTCCCAACCAACATCAGCTTTACAAGAAGAAGTTTTCAAAAAGCTTTGCTGATATCTTTACTTTAGAGGGGAGCAATACGGTTAATGATAATGTTGATGTCAGTTCGTATGTTTCTGATGTTTTAGAGACTGACAAACCCATCTTCCATACTGACGATTCAGAGACGAAAGGCTCTGTGATATCAAATTTGTTTGGGTTTTTCAAGAAGAAGGGGAGTGAGCCTAGAAAGGCCAAGGACGACTTAGTTCAAAGTAGAATATCCAGGCCTTTGAAGGCTGAGATACAAGCGCCCGAGAAGAAGGAAAGAAAAATAATTCAGAGCTCGTATGCAAATATGAAAGAGTCGCAGAATGTTGACATTCCAGGGTTTAAACCGGCCAAAAAATAAATTTCTTTTAATATTAAAAATGTGCATTTAAGCATTATTGATGTGCATTGATTATAAGCTATCTTGCAGTCTATAAGGAACTCTATAGTATACATCCATTTGCAAAAATCATGCCCTAACATCATCCTGACTTTATCCATGGGACTGAAAGAAATCGAAAAGATTATAAACAAACACAGTGGCGAACAACGAGCTGAAATCATAAATTACTATAAGAAAATGGTTGATGATGCTGTTGAAAGCCAATCCCGCATAGACTCTAAACTGGTGCGTCTGGTCGTTGATGCTTCAAGGTATCTTCCGTCTTCTGAAAGACAGCTGATTTTGGACAAGACAGTCAACACAAAGGCGTTCCAAATACGGACGTTCATTCTTAATACTCTCAAAAGTGACTTCTCTACAGAAAAGAGCCATTTTTCATCATTTTCTGAGTGGATGGTTGTAGCGATACAGGAAATCAGCAACACCTTTTACGAGGCAAATGACAAACTGCCAGCACCTATTGACAAGGAGTTGGTGGAGAATTTTCATAAGAAGTTTTGTGGAGAGCTTCGACTCATTTTCTGTTCCAATGAAAAGTTTGGCTCGGCGGGAAATCAGCTTTTGATAGACCTTAAAAAGTATTTTGAGAGCTTTGAGGGGTTTGAAGACGAAAAGACATTTTTGACAGACCGAGTTAGAAAAAACTTTAATATTGGCAAAGCTTTTACAAAAGAGAAAATAAATGAGATATTTGGCCAAATTGAACAAGGAAATAGTGAAAGAAGGATAGTGAAATAGGCAAGCAGTACTTTACCATGCACTACCATTAAACAGACGTGTCTCAAGCTTCGTCCCCAACACTTATATTGCTAATTTAACTTAAACACCAAACAGCTGCTACAAAGATAGGTTAATTTATTTATGGGCAGCATCTTTTGTTTATTTTGGCCCTAATCGTTATCTGATTCTGCTGTTCATCATCGTTTTCATTTGTCTTGTCAATATCTTCTAGAATAAATTCATCTATCCCATTGATCATTCTTTCTATTCCTTCACGGCTCAAGCCTGAGGCTGTAACAAACTTGGCACCCACTTTAGCCGCAACCCGTATGCCTCTTTCCATATTCTCATTTGTTTTATCTATCAAATCTATTTTGTTGGCAACCACCATCAGGTTTGTTTCCTCTCGGAGATTGTGTGTCAAAACAAAATCGTTAATCCATGACTCAACTTTGTCAACACTCTTAGAATCATCAACAGAAAATACTATTATTGCAAGAAACGTATTCCTGGTGTAGTTTCCTATTATCGAATGGAACCTCTCCTGCCCTGCAGTATCCCATAGCTGTAGACGGACAGCTTTGCCATTTATTTCATGGGTCGTTGTGAGGAAGTCAATTCCTATTGTGGGAGTTGGTGCATGCACTTTCGAGTACAAGTACTGTGTAATGAGTGTGGTTTTCCCAACTGCCGTGTTGCCGAGGAATACAATTTTATATGCTTTTTTCATGGGGTGAGGAGATCAGGGTAGTTGGAAATACTAAAGAAGATATTTTCTGCCAGTTTTAGCCAGACTGGCAGAAAAGTACATTGTAAACACACCAAGGCTCGCTAGATTTTTAGCATCATCTACGACACCATCAATATAGTAAAATGCCTGCCAAAATTAGAGTGGCCGAAAAGCGTTGGAACAATAGCATCAATGCTTGGCCAGAAGAATAAAATACGTTGTTATATATCCAGCATTGGATAATTCTTTTAAATTGTGCTTTTATTCAATCTCAATGTCCTTCCACTCATCCAGCTCTTCCTTTGAAAACCTCGATACTCTTTCCTCAAACTTACTGGGCTGTTCTGCCTTTTTTGAAAACATTCCTGCAATCGACTTTAAAGACCAATCCTTGCTCTGAATTTCATCCTTGTGGCTTCTTAAAAAGGTCAGGATCTTTTCAACAAGTGCAAAGCAGTATTCCTGGTTGTCTTTTTCTATCAATCTAGAGCACAGGCTTGGGAGTATTTCCTTTGCAATCTTTATTTTGTCAAAATTAAAACAGTATTTATCAATGCATTTGTAGACAGGGAGAGTATTCTTCTCAGAGCTCAGAAAGACAAGAAGGAGCTTGTATATTTGTTTGCAATATCTCTCCCCATTTAGACCCAACAGATAATTGCATATTAACAACATCGATTCAGAATCAGTGCATGAAGCCATAGTGTCGAGCAGAAAGCTCATGGCCTCTGTGCTAAAGCTGTGCTGAAATATGAAGTCTATGGTTAGTTTCTTAATCGTCTTGTCTTTGACCTGCAACCCAAGACTCAAATCTGATGTTATTCCATCCAGTTCCTGCACTGTAAAGCTCTGATTCATAAACCTCTGGAGTAGATAGGCCCGAATATTAGAATCCAAAATTGAGAACAGTATTTTTATATCCTCATTAAAGTATTTTTCATCCAGGGAGTAAAGAAAGTCGAGAGTCTTTGTTTTATATTCTTTATTTAAGTCCCTTTCGGCATCTTTCAGAAAGGCATTAAAGAGGAACTTGATAGTTATTGTCGGAAGTATGCTTCTGTTTCTCAAAAAATTCTCAAACATTGAAATCTTATCCTCAATTTTACACATTGATAGGTCTAACTTGAATATGCTATCATAAAAATTCATATCTGCAACGCCACGTGCATTGCTATTTTTTTCAACTTGTGCCACAAACTCCTCACTGCCTGTCAGTTGCACACACAGCTCACTTAGCATCTGATAATCTAAGGTTTGGCTTTCGAAATCCTTAAGCCTCTCAAAATTACATAACAGAACTTGTCCCGATTCTTCCAAGACAATGGATTCCATGCTTATAGCTCTGTGCTCCTTCTTTAGTACTGTGTGCACGAAGTCAAGTGCTTCTTTGAGCTTGAAAATGACATATCCGTTGTATTCAGTCTTTTCCCTTTCAAAAGCTTGTGTAAAGGGCACTATTCTTTTTGTATAAACAGAGGAGCGGGATAGCTTGAAGATCGGAATTATGTTTGGATGTGGATGATGCTTGAGAATCTCATAGGACTTGGTGGTGCCTGATTTTAATGCTATTTTCGAGCATGGAATGCCGTTATATTTTGTATAAAATATTTTGCCGAAACTCAGTGAATATGCCTGGTCTTGTTTGGAGGAAAAGAGGCCTTTTAGCATTGCTATGTTTAAAGGGCGAGAAAAGTAGAGTAATTTAAAAAGAGGTATAGTGGACGAAGATGTGATTGAAGAATAGGCTGTGCAGACAAGACAATCTAGTGGTAAGGAGGGACAGTGTAGCTCTCAAGGCTGCAGTGGCACACGATTCATTTTCAATCAGTTGATTGAGAAAGATGGAATGCTTGTTCTTTTAATTAAGCGGCCCATTCCCTAGCTTTATTTTGTAAACGAAATAGTAGGGAGTGTGGATAAGCACATATGTTCTTGCGTTCTGCCTAGATGGCTTCATACCTATACTTGTTATAAATTTTATTACCTGTAAAATTTTGTCAAATAAGGCAATTGAAGGATAGTAGATATAGAAGCCTAAGCCAACAACCACATAGTCAAATTTATCAAAACATTAATGTGCTGATATAACCTTAAATATAGTAAACAAGTGATATTTGGAGATTTTGACAGCAGTGTGACATGCATTAAGGCCGCCACAATATTCTTCTGTAACATGCTTAAAGCATCCAAATATCGTCAAACAATGCAAATAAAGCAAATAATAAATGAGACGTGTTTCTTCATTGAACTGTAGACGTCTGATTAATGATAAATTAGATCCAACAGAGTAAATTTTTATCCTCAAATTGAAAACGATATCAGACAGAATGGAGCTAGGATGTGGATAACGAACCTAGAACTGCCCCACATTGGATGTCTACGGACTATTGAGTAAATATGTAAGTCTATAGCTTGTCTATTCCTGCTGTGCAGTTTGAAAAAATATTGTATTTGTTAAAAATTTTTCTTTATTAGACTCTTTTGGAAGAAAGAAATCACCTTTTAGTATAAAAATCAGCTTTAAATGGCTTAGCAAACAATGCATCAGACAGACTATAAATATAGTCCAAGAAATATATGGCAGTAATATACACGGTTTTATTTGCTATTTAATTGATAGTCGTCTTTTGTTCCTGATATGTACAAGATTTGAAAACATGATCTTAATCATTTATTCTCAGATGGAATCTTCAAAGTATCCAGTCCAATATTCCAAAATATAATTGAAAACTTAGAGATTGGACAATGAGCCGGGAACATTCATCATTGTTGGAAGTGTCCATCTAGTCTCCTTATTGGCTGCTTTACTATTAATGTTCAAAATTTGTCGGAATCATCTGATGGATTGAAAGATTTTTGTCAAATTAATTCAATAAATCAATTTGCTTAGAATTCTGAAACTTTACAAAATATCTATAAAAATTTTCATACATCACAAACCCCAAACAAGTAATGATGGTACCCAAGGAAAGTAGACATGGTGATCAGCCTAATCGCTTTGGAAAAGTTGAAAAACCAGAAGTTACAAAGGCTGTAATATTGGTAGGCGGATGGGGAACAAGGTTAAGACCCTTGACATATACAGTGCCTAAGCCGTTGATAAGTTTCTGTAACAAACCTATCCTTAAGTATCAGATTGAAAAAGCTGGTCAAAGCTGGTATAAAGGAGATTATATTAGCATTAAATTATTACAGCGAGAAGATTATGGAGGAGGTTGAGAACTATCAAGAAGAGTTTGGTATAACGATCATATATTCAAAAGAGGATGAGCCTCTTGGAACAGCAGGGCCCTTGGCCCTGGCAATGTCTCATTTGGAAGGTACTAGTTTTTTTGTCTTGAATAGTGATATTGCCTGTAATGTTGACTTAAATGAAATGAAGGATGATTTTATGAGGAGTCATGCGATAGGCATAATACTGACATACGAGGTTGAGGACCCCACCAGATACGGTCTGATCATGACCGAGGGAAACCAAATAAAGTCCTTCATGGAGAAGCCAAAAAAAATAGAGGGTTCTGGGCCTTGGCTTATTAATGCTGGCATTTATGTGCTTTCGCACGAGGTGCTTCGATACATCGAACTCAGAGAAATGTCAATCGAGAAGGAGGTGTTTCCTAAGTTGGCAGAGGCCGGAGTGCTTCACGCTTTTAAGTTTGAAGGATATTGGATGGATATTGGCCAACCTGTTGATTATTTAAAAGGGCAACAATTGGCCATAGAAAACATGGAAACTGACGACATGCTTCTGAATGAGATTGGAGCGACGCCAGTTAGCCAGGGTGCTCAGTATGAGCCTAGTGAAAAGCCCAACGGCAACGTTAATAAAGGATACATTGACAGAAAGAACAACGTGGTGATTGGAAGAAACGTTAAGATAGGCTCAAACGTGAATCTAAAAGATTGTACGCTCTTTGAAAATACCGTTGTCGAGAATAATGTAACCGTTGAAAACTCGATTGTTGGATGGGGCTCGCGTCTTCAGAAAAATTGTAAAATCTTGGATTTTTGTGTTCTAGGTGAGGGAACGATAGTCCAAGAAGGAAGTTGCCTGAAGGGGTGTCGTACTGAACCCAATTCAAAATTTGAATAAATCTATTTGATCTCAAATGCTATATTACTGCTTTACATATAGATTGAGGTTAAGCTAGTTTGGATCAGCAGTATCTAGCCTATATCTAATTGTAACACCATGCCCTCCCTCAAGAAATTGAAGTAGAATGGTTTCAAAAAGAGATTATCGATGCCATGCACACACAAACCCATTTAGAGATACAAAAATAGACGTTCCGAAGGATCCCAGCTCTATAGACTGGAGGAAGCATTTCGAAAATGGCCGTCCACCCACTTTTATTGATGTAGGCTGTGGTTATGGAAAGTTTCTGGTGGAAACTGCAAGATTATTTCCAGGGGAGAATGTTCTTGGTCTGGAAATCAGAGACAAAGTTGTAGAATATGTCGAGCAGCTTGTTTCGACTCTTCCCAACTGCTCTGTTGTTCAAACCAATGCTCTTTTATTTCTTCCAAACTTTTTTGTGTCCAACAGTCTTAGAAAAGTCTTTGTCCTCTTCCCCGATCCGCATTTCAAGAAAAGAAAGCAGAAGTTTAGGATGATTTGCAGACAGACAATGGCTGTGCTGAAGTATCTATTTGAAAAAGAGGGGCAGCTGTATATTTCAACAGATGTTGAGGAGTTATTTGAGGATATGTGCCAGGTGATTGAGTCTACAGGATATTTCTCAGAGCAGAAAGATCCCAGTGGTGATCCGCTATTTGAAAAGTGCTATAGAGGAACTGACGAAGCAGGACGTGCAGGGATGAAGAGCGGACACACCTTTGGGAAAGTATACAAGATAGCTAAATGAGGAGGCTTGTTTATAGTCTTGAGAGGCCACTGAAACTACTGAGCTGGCAACATTGAGGAGAATACTGCATGATTTATGTCATTACCACCTAGCAATACCATTTATTACTATCTAGCAACTCGGCCATCTTGAAAGCAAGGCAAAAGTGTAGGATATCAGATGACTATTTGGAGCTTATCTTCACACTATGCTACTGCCTATAGTAAATAAACTTTTACATATTAAAAGCTCCAACTTGAAAATAAATTTTCTTTATTTTAATCTTCACATTTTCTTAAACATTTCATCGAGCAAAGCATCTTCTCAACTACAAACTGATGCTCCCTGTCCAAATAGCTGTAATTATAACAATAGCAAGGCTCTACCACAAAGTAGCACTTACAAAAGTCGCAGATATGCCTCTTCACAAACATGCGATTGAGCCATGGATCCAGCTTGTTCTTTTCATTCAGTATCTTTGTAAAGCAGATCTGAAGAAGACTTTGCTCATCCGAGATTTTCGGATGCTTCTTTTCGTACGGATTGGATCCAAGTCTGATGGTGGTGTGCTGCCCAAAGGACTTGAAGAGCTTGTATGGAAGATAAGATATTTGGTTTTCGCTGATATCAATCATTGTTATTGAGCTGAGAGCGTCTAGTATTCTTAGAGATGAGATTTCTGATATTTTATTATTTCTTAGGTTTAGATATCTTAAGGATGGATTGTACAGTGCAATATAGGGAAACTCTGGTATTTCATTATCGCTGAAATCAAGCTTTTCAATACTTTTCAATGTTAGGAGACTAGTGTGGATACTCTTTAGTCTGTTTTTGAATACTGGAAGAATTCTCAGTGCATTCAAGTTGGACATGTTTGGAAGATCCTCCAGCTCGTTCATGCCCAGTCCGAGCTCCTCCAGCTTTTTCAAATTGTTAATTTCATGTGGAAGATGCCTAATTTTGTTATTTGACAGATTAAGCCAGCTGAGATTTATCAGAGAACAAAATTCAACGGGTATGCTCTCGATTGAATTGTTTGAAAGATCAAGTTTTACCAGGTTTTTTAAATTTTGTATTTCTGGAGAAATCCAGGCCACCTTGTTGCTAAAAAACCCAAACTTCCTTAGGTTTTTAAGTTTATACACGCACTCTGGTATTGCTTCAAATAGATTCTCACTCAGCCCTAGGCCTGATATCCTAGTCAGAGCTCCCAGCTCCGGGGGCAGGATCCGCAGTCTATTTCTGGTGAGATCCATCCAGGACAGCCCAACACAATCTCCAATACTACTATCGATCTCCTCTATCCTATTATCGTTTAATGCTAGTCGGCTGAGGCTTTTTAGCGTTTTTATCTCCTTTGGTATTTTCTTTATTTTATTATCACTTAGGATCAGCCAATTTACATCCGTCTTGATCTTATTGAATGGAATATCACTCAATCCCTGTTTTGAAAGCTCCACAGTGCAGATCTCGGTCATTATTTTATTTATGCGTTTTCTTTTTATGTGGTGATTTTTCATGCAGTTTCAGGTTTGTAAATAGACGGCATTTAAGTCAAAAGCTAATATTTAGCTATTCAGCAGTGTTTAATTTGTGAATAAATAAGTTGAGTTTGTATTTGTGTTGAAAATTTATGTCTATATGATTTTTATTTGACTTCAGCACCAACAACACCTCACCTAAGACACATAAAACCAATGACCTAATTTTTAGAATAGCTTTTTTGCTCTTCTTGGACCTCCATTGGGGAGTACTTAGTAGGAACATACTCTATGATCTTTGATCTGCAATCATAGTTCTACGCTCTAACGACCGGTTTTCATTGGTCTTTAGTATTGATGAGATGCTTATATTTCATTTGCCAATAAATTGTTTTATACTTTGCTTGCCTGCCATGTTCTCCTATCGGCGCTTTCATACTGGTTTCTGAAACATAACTCATTTAAACCTGTAATTTATTTGAACCTATGATTGCTTGAACATACCAACCTACAGCTCTCGTTTTGGCAATATCATAGGCCAATTCTCTGGATTACCGTTACAATAGGTTAATAAAATTGCTGGTTTCACCTTTGAAACTCTTGGAAGTAACAGAGACTATCAAAATCAAACGGAACTACCAGCTATATGGGGACAGGACTAAGCCTCCCAAAGGAAACTGTAGTAGTGGGAAAAACAAACAGAAATGCGCCAAATTTGTATAGATTCCACGATGTGCCAGACCATCTTTACCCCTATGAAACCAAGAAGAGTAAAACAAAATTCCCCGACATAGAACTAGCATTAGCATTGGAGACGTTCAACTCTATTGTCACATGCAAGCTAAACACCAAAGAACCTCCGCAGCGACTAACCAAAAACGAAATTGAGATCTTTAAAAAAATTTTAAATCCTGTGAAAACCCTGCAAAATGCATTAATTACCAGCAGTGACACAAAGGAATTAAAAATGGAGATAAGTGCAGAAGACAAGCAGATATATCTGTGCAGAAGCTACTTGGTAGAGCTAAACGAGATAGTGTGCAAGCACAAATCAATAACCATATTGCAAATATGCTGTAACTATCTCAGATACTTGCCATATGGAATAGGCCAGCTAAGAGGTCTAAAGATGCTAGTTGTATCAAGAAACAGAATAACTGAGATTCCAGAGGAGATCGGATTATGCAAGGAGCTAAGGGAGATTGACCTGTCCCATAATCTAATAAGGATGCTTCCCAAATCTCTCGTTTGTCTCAAAAGACTAAATACACTACAGCTTGCAAATAACCTTTTGATCGAGGTTCCTACATTTTTGGGCAAAATGCAATCCTTAAAGTACCTGAATCTCTCAAATAACAAAATCAAAAGCGTTCCACTAGAAATTTTCAAACTACCGTTTCTTCTCAGCTTGAATTGCTCGGGCTGCTCCTTAAACCTGAAAAACAGAAAAGTTTTTGAAATTAAGGGTAAAATAACATTGGCCGAAACAGTGGCCAGAAATATAATTCGGAAGAATCTACCATTAAGAAAAAGTGTGTCTGCACCACTGATTGACTACCTTCTAAGTGTCCAGGAGTGTTCATTCTGTGGCGGCCCATTTTTTGACTACTACGTAAATGTGGAAGATCTTCATATTTTTGAATCGGAAATATATCCGATTCATTACAAAATGTGCTCACTGCACTATAAAAAACACGAAGACAGACTGTCAACATTATTTGAAAGGACCATGCCCACCTTTCCAATTAAGATCTTTGAGGAGAATTTGCCGTCAATTTGTGAGCTATTTGAACCTTACATCTACGACGAAGAAGTCCTGCATAATGGCATGGCAAACTCCGAATCGTCAGACACAATCCCACTCATCTGTCTTGCAAACTACAACACCAAAAAACATAGACGTGGCATAATAGATTCATTTTTCCAACTTGACCAAGAAAACTCTAACATTTTTGATTGCATTTTTGATCAGAGATAGCTAATAAATCAATCTTTATGCAAAACAGTTTAACTACACAGCGTGTTTCTTAAATATATAAGGTCTAATGCCTTTGTTGAATGCTGAAAATGCATTTACTTAGACATTGGCAATGCAGCAATACAAACCTTAATTAGAATATCTGTAGCACAATCATTTATTCATAAACCACTTGTCCATATGAAACCATATCAACATGGCAGTCACGCAGTTTAAAAAATCCATGCTTCGTGGGATTAAAGGCTATGTCAATACACTGTCCGTCTCTCGCACTAACCACAGCATTACAAATACACTGCAACATTTTGTCTTGCTTTGTCAATCTTAATTTTGAGGATTTACGGTGCTCATCCGACTTGTTACTTTTCAAACCTTCACTAGCCAGATCCTTTATTGGCATAGCAGTGTTTTCGTTGATGCCATCCTGGGTTTTGCTTAGAATATTAGGATTCTTGAGGCTTTCGTCAGCTGCATTAGGCAAAGTTACGACGGTGTCTGTAAGTCTTGGTGCATCAAAATGAGCTGAAGGCTTTGTGCTCTCAGCAATCATAGGATTTAACACCAAACTGTCATTGCTATCAACAATGCTACTATTATGAGTGGCATGGTCACTGGCGCTAGCAATGCTGTTTTTAATTTCATGGAAGCTACTATTGTCTGTATCTTTATTTTGATCGCCAATGTTGGTAACACTGTAGCCCTTGAGTATCCAGCATATGGAGTAAAATACATTGAAAGCCGATTCTTTTACAGACTTTACATATCTCTTGAAGACATACTCCACCTTGTCTGGGCTTGAGGACGCCAGACAGCACTTGATTGCTTTAATGAAAAAGGAAGAATTGGAAATTGAGACATGTCCTGTACTTAGAAAATATATCAGTGCAGACGTAGTGGTTCGCCTCAAAAGAATAAACTGCTGAGTTCTATAATCTAGTTTGCATCTCAGAATTAAATCCACAAATGATCCAAGAGTTTCAGGTAGATTTAAATAAATCAACAATCTAATTCTTTCAGAAACATTGGCTTTACTTTTTAATATACTTTGAATGGTGCGCGGGTCAGATCGACATTTATAAACGAAGAAATAGAGACAGGAATAGTCAACCTCAGAGCCTATCTTTGCAGTTATCATTTCAACAAACTCGGTACTGGCTTTGGTATGCGAATTTATAAATATCTCATTGGACGTTAGCATATCCATAGAATTCAAGATATCCGAATCCCCAACAACAGTATCCCTCAAAGTATCATTACTCGGCATGTTCTTTTTCGATCTAATCAGTGGTTTAAAGCTAAGCATTTCTTTTATAAATTCAACTATTACTTCTACAGAGCCCATGTCAGTGGAGGTCAATGTCTTTTCTAGCAGTAAATCGTAATAATGGTACGGATCGGCGATGTATTTCAAGACCTCAAAGACGTTATTTTGAATACATTCCCTGATTTGAGCGTCATTAAGGGTGCCTGCAAACATGTATTCAAGACAGAAGCTTCTTAAGTGTGCTGGAATCTGGTTGAAATTAGTGATACACATGGTCTTGAGAAAGACGCGAAGACCCGGCACATCTTCGTTTTTAGACAGAAATTCCAAAGAAAAACCAGATCTTCTAATCTCAGAAATATATTCTTCTGAAAAACAGGTAAGACAACCTTCAGAAAGCTTTGAGAAGAACTTTGTAAATTTTTCATACATTTCATCCAAGGAAAGCTCGGCATGTTCCTTCTGAAATCCGAGCTTTCCGTCCACAATGGCTGGCTGATCTGATGCATCTTCAAATAGTTTCAAGCTATGAGAACTATCAATTATTCTCATTTGGTGTATCAATTCTCGATACATTCTAAAAAGCTCCTCCCTGATTCTTGCTGATTTATCGAGCAATCTGTCAGAGACAGTGGGCGGTACGTTGAAATAGTTCATTCTCTTCAATAGCGCTAGTCTTACTTCATCTTCCGAATCGTTCAGTAAAATGCTGAAATAAGGTTCACTGGAAAACGAGACTTTTCCAGCAAGTAGAATCCTAATCCTGTGGTCCCGATCCCTAATGTAGTTCTTAAGTACAAATTCAGGATGAAGATCTAATGCATTTTCAATAAAACCTCGTCTTTTTCTGCCCTTAACAATTCTTGGTTCTGTGTTTTCTCTGAAAAACTGGCAATCGCAGTAGATTTTAACATACAAATCCTCATCAAGTTTCTCAACATCGACATACTTTATGATCCTTGGAATGAAATCCAGATATGAATCGTACTTCTTAAGAACCATGCCAACGAGCATTTCCCTGTCGCTACTGGTTTCAATAAACATGGCCAGTATTTGTTTCAGCATTTCTCTGTTAAATGCTGTTTTTGTATACGCCTCGAAGAATTTCCAAATTATTTGAGTGTTCTTGAAATGGATGAAGATTAGCTCAGAAACAAATCCAGAAATATCCGCTTTGTCTTCTGTAATGCATTTAAGAACAGACTCAAAGATAAAGTTCAAGGCATCATCATCTAAAATGGTAGAAAACATGTTGGATGATGATTTTAGAAGTTTAAATATCTGAGAAATTGCTAAAATAGCATATGGCCTCGTCTCTCTGTCTTTAAGATTCTCCAAGCATGTCTTGACTTCGCTCACAAAATTTGCAGCTTCGTATTTTGCACTGCTCTCTTTTTCCATGTTTTTCAATGCTTCAAGGAGTTCTCTGATGCTACCTACGTCTTGTTCCAGCTTCTTCTTTTTTCGTTCCGTCATTTGGGATTCTTCTGAAAAACTATAGTTAGCAAAGGTTCAGAGCTTTAAACAAGTCTAATTAAGCTACAAATTCCTTACTGCAAGATGTGCTGCAGTAAACAAAAGAATGCAAGATTCGGTTTGAAACTAGTCTTGCTATGTAAAAACAAGGCAAAGAGCTATGCAGGCTCATGAATGCCTCACAATGGCGATAAATAGTGAACAGGACAATTAAACGCAGAAGAGTAGATTGAAAATAGTCATGTACTTAAGCAATAAACAGATATCAATTGTGATGTTTTAATCTTACATGCTTATAAATATTCCAGGATGACAGAGTCGTCAAAGGAAAAATCAGATGTGTCAAGTGGCCCAACCAATATGTATGAATACTCAATGCATTCTTTGTTCCTTATAACTGGTCCTTTTTGTATCTTGGTTCTGAAGACAATGCCGTTTTCGAACTCAAATTTTGATAGGATGAAAGGAGCACGCTTACCTTTTGGAATATCTAAATTCATAATGACATCATAAACCAACCCCGTGTCATCTTGATCAATTTTTGCTATGCCATTTTCCACAGTATATTTAATATCGTTGGACTTTAACAACTTTGAGCATGATGCTGGGCAAGAAACCGTACTTGAAAAATTGAATACTTCCTCGTTTATTAGAATTTTAAAAGATTCTCCAAATTTTCTGTAGTTTGAATATGCCGAAGAGAAAGCTATGACAAACTCCTCCTTGATTGTGCCAAAAATGGCTGACTCATCGTTTATGACGGAGATGTCAAAGGGAAATTTATAGTATTTCTTGGAATCTATCGATAGTTCTGTTTTAGAAACAACGGTCACTTTATTAAAAATGCCAGTCATTCTTATATTTTTAAACTCATTAGATTGCGACCTCATCCTCTTAAGACCAGAAAGTATAAACTCATCTGTCGTCTTTTGCCTTGCAATCTTTGTTGGCTCCTCAATTGGTTTTTCTATTTTAATTAGTGATCCATTGAAAATATCAAATGGGTTTTCAGATATTTTTACTGAACTGTCGAACGTAAATGTGCTGTTGAATGTGGATGGTTTCTTTGTGCTTTGGAAATTTCCCGTATTTAGATCTAGATTATCAATCGGCCTATATTCATTCGAAATATCCTTTAGTGCAGTGTTGTTCTCTAGTATACTACTTGAATCACAATCTAATATGCTACTTGAAAGTATACTGTTCGAGGATATGTTCTGCAGCTTGCTGGAGTGCTCAATTCTCAAGGATACCGGGGTCTGAACCAGAGGAGCATTTCCCAAGTCCGAACAGTATATTATCTCTCTATTGTGTTCCTCCGAAGATGATTGCTTTGTGTCTTTCTTTTTCAAGCTAAGCACTTTAGCTTTCTTCACTTTAGATCTAAAGTCTCTTAGCATGTGCCCTTGTTATCCATTCTGGATTATCAAATTTTGGAGGGAAATGTCAATGCTTGACTAGTTTTTCTTTTTGAGGCCATCCCATGTCACTTGAAGAGCTTATACTCAGCGACTACGGAACAATTCCAAAGACAATAGGTATGTTTCTCCTCAAATGCAACTCATCCACATATTTACAAATTCAATCGGCAACTAAACTTTCTGATGAGGATCTGACCGACGGTTTATCTTTGCTCATTCAACGAAGAATTGTAAAGTTTTTTATATTTGAAAAGGTTTATAAATACAGTGTTTTAAAGAGCATGATAAAGAGAAGAATGTATTTTTCTGTGTACCTGAGTTACGTATCGCAGAACTATTCATCAAAGCATGCCAAGTACTTTTCAAAGATTATGGTCAATGGAACATTCAAGGAAACGGGCGAAAACATGGATAGTGAGACTAGCACGGTTGTAGATGATCTTATAAATGCAGGCATATTAAAAATTGAAGTATTTTCCACCAAAACATCAGAAATGGACTCGTGTAATTCATCAAAGCAGTTTAAGCCATCCAACAAATTTTTAACTGTAAATTTTAGTTTGTTAGATCAGAAGATCTTTGAAGAAGAGACAGTCAAGTATGTGTCGAGAAGATACAACGAAGCAGCTGGTTCGGTATTAAAGGCTCTTCTTAAGTGCGAGTCTGGCAATAGAGACAGCATTATTGATAACTTAGACTCAACTAAAGTTTTGATCTCAGACAAAGGCTCTTTGGTTAATGAAAGAGAAAATATAGATGAGTATCTGAAGTATCTTTGCTCAGCTAATGTAATTACACAAGGAATGGATGAGAGGAAATCGTACTTCTTCGGCTTACCCAAAAATACCCTAAAAGCCTATAAGCTGTCTTTAATAATTAAAGATTCAAGTATGAGAAGGATTTTTAATATGATTTTAAACAAGCCTCTAGTTGAAGACAAAGATATAACGATTCGTTCATTGCTAGGCATTAATAAAGTAAAAACAGCATTGCTATCTCTTCAGAGGCTTGGCATGATCTCACAGAGATGTATTGGCGATTACACTTCTGGATCTAGAATTGAGCACTCATGGTTTGTGGACACGAGCCACGCATGCTTGTCCATTTTAAAAAGAATAGAAAAACATATTTGCGGTAAGCTTGAAAAGATCAACGAATGCTGGACCTTGAACTATTTAAATGAAGATTGCATGAACAACTACAATGTATGGACTTCGGATTTTATTTCACTTGCAACGGATCATCTAGTACTAAGCTATGGATTGAATTAAATGTCGTTTGAGGGTTAAAAGCTGCATTGAAATTGTTTAAAACAAGCTATATAGACGCTACCATTTCATTGATTGCTGGTGTAAATATGCGTGCCGCACAGCGTACTCATTAAGGTACTGAATTGTCTGTTTAATATGCATAAATTACTATCTAAATAGGTAGCAAGACCAGAAAGTAAAATGATTTTAATCAACTGTCTGACGTCTTTAGTGCTGATTTTGAAATTGTGGGTCGATTGATTTTATAGCTATTTATTGAAGGCTACACTATCTTTATATTTTGACTTCTGTTGCCCCAAGTTAATGGTAGTGGATAATACCGCAAAAGAATGCAAAGAGAAGATTAAGAGTCTTGAAAAAATAATTGCAGACTTGAAGTCTGAGCTCCATTCCAAAGAAATCATCATTAATGCACTGGTGTCAAAACTTAAAGAGCAGAAATCCGGTGTTGGTTGTGAGAATTGCGAACATGCGAAGAAGATAAAAACTAAAATGACAGTGTCGTTGCCAGGAATTGAAGCATGCTCTTCAGAAGATATTAATACTGAAGCAAAAACACCCATATCGCCTCGCAAGCCTGCTGATGGAAGCTTTCACAAGAGTGTCTGTACACCCTGCGATTCAGCAGAGATAATCTCGCAAATTAAAGATATCTTCGTTCAGAAATCCAAGAATATGGAATTCAAGCTGAATTTTACGTTTAAAAAGTTTGTAGATTATGCCGAAACGACATACGAATTTTCCTTGTTCAATAAAAAGGTTATGAAAGCAAAAAATCCCCTAAAGCAGTTCATAGAAGCCAATTTGGACAGGATTGTCAAGTATATTCTGGACAATGTCAATACTTTAAATCTAAACCAGATTTGTTCGACAATTTTCTTGATAAATTCAGAGATGGCCTATAAGCACAAGCTTGTTATTTTCCATGATATTGTTCTGGAGCTGAGCAGCCATTCCAAGTTGAATTTAATTGCCGCCGCTCTGTTTAACAATCTCGATCTTGAAAATGATGTGTTTAGCCAAGTTATTAAAAAAATTATGTATCACCAGTTATGTATTGATGGAAACATACTCAAAGATTCGGAAGTTGCAGAGCATCTAAATTTGATAAGAGATAATTTCAATCTTTCTACTCCGGAAATAAGTCTCTGGGAGAGTCTTTCGCATTTTCTTGTTAAGCATAGGCTATTTGACCAAGACAGAAAAATTATACTCGCTGATTCCATTGAGAGAGGATTTTGCCTGCGAATGCTATGTCACTATATAGACTGGGACTACACGTACAATACCTTCATTCTGACACAGCTCTATCCAAAAATTCTGTCAGATAAGGGCGCCGTTCATGTGTATTACCTGGGAATTTTGATGATGAATGCAAGGCGAGTCTTTGGCTATGACGAAAGTGTAGAGAGGCTGGAGGAAGAGCTAGTGAGCTTTTTGGAGTGGAAGGACGAGTGCTCGGTGGTAGCCTACATGATTCTGAAGCAAGTTCGTCAAACAGATTCGGAAAGCTGGATGAATGAAAATGAAGAATTTCTGCAAAATAATGGATACAGAATAGAGTATTTAAGGAGTTTTCTGCTACTGTAATGTATACATTTATCTATATTATTAGTATGGGTGAGTAATAAAGACCATTTGATTCGATGGGCGTTATTTAAAGAGTATGTAGCAGCGATGAAAAAATGAATATTTCCAAAAGAAAATATCTACCAACACCACCGCTTCGATGTTAAATGGTGCAGAGTCAGTAAAGGCGTGTTTGACTATGACTGTCCATTTGCTGAATATTTTCCACATTAAAAGCGCTAATTTATCAATTCCTAAAAAATAAAATAGTTTTAATTAGATTTACTCATCAACCATTTCCAGTATCTTCTCAACTTCAATCTCATTATTTTCGCCAACAATTTGAGCTAGCCCTTTGATGCTATAGTTAGCCAGTAGGCTATCCAATTTTAACTTGCCACTACTCCCAATCTCCTTAAATGCATTCACAATCTGAGACTTGACCATCTTTGAGTAACTCAACCTAACAAGGACATCCTCCATCTTTTCGCTAGATATCGATCCCTCCATCGAGGCAACACTGTCCTCTACCAAGCTGGGCTCGAATCTCAATGCTCTGAGTATTTTTTTAAAATCAGAAATACTAATCAGCCCCGATTTCTTAACATCTTTGATTTTAAACATCTTTTTGGCATCGCCAATCATCAGATCAGATGCCTTTTTCAGATCAATGAACCTCTTAAGCTTTTCCTTTTTGCTTTCAAAGAACTCTCTAAGCTTGTCGGCAGCTTTCTGCTTTGATAGCGAACATAGATGCACGGGATTAAACTTCGGCTCATTAGATGAAACAGCTAATATTTGTGACTCCTTGTCTGATATGGTGTAAATTTGATTAGAAATATCCTTCACTCTGACAAGTTCAAGAGCCTCTGTATTTTCAAACTCTGAGACTTCGCATTTGATGGAGTTCAAATCGAGGATGCTAGAAACATTCAGGTATGACATGTCGATTTTGTCAACAGAAAGCCTTTCGGGTGGATGGTAGCTTTTCAGACTCATCAGCTGATGAACATCTTGGATGTCATTCAAAAGTAAGTGCAGCTCTGCAGACTGAACAATCAAGTCTGTATTTGTATCCTGAATTTTCCTTAGCTCCTCAACGACGGTCTTCAAAATAGATGATAAAGCACTCACTTTCTCATGTACGATCTTCTTTTCCTTTAAAAACGCTTCAGCCTTTCTTTCGTATGAATTTCTAGCCTCAATAGACCAATCAATGGCCTTGAGTGTGTTCTTGAGCTTATCCTTAGCTGCAATCTGTCGCTCTTCAGATAGAAATTTTTGGTAGAACTGTGACAAGTATGTCATTACACTCCTTTCATCAGGCCTAATAACATCAATGATATCTTCCGGGTCAAATAATTTTGGTATTTCAAGATGTTCTTCGGCTATTTTGAACGCCTTGCTGCAGTTTTCATATTTATTTTTTGGATCCATTGAATGAAAATCAGGCATAAGATTGGGCCTGAACTTGTGGATTATTGCGCTGAATCCAAGCCCATCCTGCCAGCTGGATGAAAGATCTTCAATCTTCACATTCTTATACTCCTCCGTGACTCTCTGAGCCCAGCTTAATATTTCCTCTTTCATAGTGAAGAATTCGCTAGTAAGAATGTCAGAAATAGACAATTTTGAAATTAGCGTCCAAATAAGTCCCAAGATAAGTTTCTGATCACCATCAACAATGTCTTCTGGCCCAATATTCACAAGTGCAATATTCTGTTCTTTGATAAAGTCAAGAATTATTTTCAAATTCTCCATCTTCTGAATTCTCGAGTGAGGGCTAGTGTTGTACTTGGAGATAACTTTTCCCAATGCATTTAGAAGATTGACAAGGGCAATTCCAGAGGACAAATCAGCAAAAAGGCTGTCGATGGTATCAAAGCCAGCCTTCTTTAGCTTGTTATTTACCCATTTTGTGAATGTTTTTGTCTGCACAACTTTCCAATTTCCAGAAGAGAGCTCGTCCATTAAGGGCTGAGGAAAACAAACACTAAAGCATTAAAGATGTAAAAGAGCCAGCTAAGCCAAAAGACAATCCAAATAGAAACAACACCATCTATTCCAAAACCTCAGTGTAAAGTCAATTAGAACAGAGTTTGAAGAAACCTACAAAATGCCAATATCGAATGTATTTAATTTTTAATGTTTTGATAAATTTGGCATCAACCAAAAAATTTCAAGTGCAAAAAAAGCGATGATAGGGCACACATGTCCGTAAAACGTTTCTTTGAAAAAATCTTTGGAACCTGCGGCTGTTATTCATAAAATTCGATTAGGTATGACATCAGTTCTTAAACAAATTAACACTCAAATTAAAAGATGATGGATACAGCAGAGAAGTTTTACACACTATTCCGAAGTACTGCAGCGTTGAAATGTCCCTTATTTAACCAAATGTTTTTGTGCCAGGTTTCCTCCGTCTATTAGAACTTGTACTTATTAAATATATATAGTATCGCAGATACAACAAACACGTTTTCTGCATATATTCCGACATAAACTAAATAGCTATGCTTATCTGTGTCGTTAAATAAATACTTGAGAGCCATGAATGTAGCCATAGAATTGACAAGAAATCCAACAGTTACCATTATTGTTATTTTCTCAATGTAGTCTCGTCTTTGCAGAACACTTTTCATGAATTCGTCGTCCTCATGTGGATTGATTTCTTTCAACTCAGTCATAAGGAGGAGAGCAAAATTGAAAAATTTTTGGAAAATAAAGGAGACATTAAGACCACAACTCGTGCTATTATACCGCAAAGCTGTTTTGTGTTGTCAAATTTAAAGACTCTTTTTTGTTACTCTCATTATTTTTCTTTGTGAACATGGCAGGCATTTTTTGTGATGCAGCTCAGCTTACATTTGCACTACCTTAGCTCAACTCTACTATTTGCTACTCAACGGATTAGCATCGTTTGACTATTTTTTACCTAAACAGCCCACTCCTGTGTCAAATGCAAAAAGAAGCAGGCATATTTCATGGATTTGAAAGATTTGACGAATTTGTTATGAGGAATATTGGTGTTGAGATATTTGCTGAAAGCATTCTAATCAAATATCCAGGAACTGTTCCAAATCTTCCCATTTCTAACCATCTTAGTATTCCTGAAATTCTTTCAATTTCACTAGAACAAAGTGAAAATGGAAACCAGCTTAGCCAAGGATATTGCAAAAGAAAAAAGCAATGGAATAGCATTAATACAACCAGAAACATATTCCGATCAGAGCAGTGGGCAAGGATATTCGAGAGAATAGGTGATGAATACTCCTTATTCCTGCTTGAGCACACATGTATTATACAGAAAATCGGTGAAAACATGGTACTGCTATGTGGAGACATTAACAGTATTCCGGAAAAGAGAAAGGAGCAGAGATATGTTCAACGAGAGCAGCTGTTTAGAGGAAGACCATCGTCCCTACATATATCTGTTGACGAGGCACTACAGGCCATTATGAATGATGTTGAGATATCTCGTGATAATTCAAGCATTTTAGCTGAAAAAATTAAAAAAATGGTAAGAAAGTACCAGGAGTTACCGCTAAAAGCCATTTTCAAGTCATTCATAATAGAAAAACCATTTGATTCTGCAAGCCAACATGCAGATGATGATGGTAAAAGATCAAGTAAAACGAATAGTGGCGCAAGTATAATCGAAGATCAGATCAACCCCCAAACCATAGCTGATTTTCTCTTTCTAATTTCTAAAAAGTTCCTAAGGCCAATACTTAGTCTCAAATCATTCAAAACACTCAAAGGAAAACTTGTATTGCTACTAAAAAGAAACGCATTTGAGACGCTGAATTCCGAAGATCTATCCAATCGTTTCAAAATGTCCAATTTTAAATTTTTTAATCATTGCAAAAACCTTTCTAACTCCACAAGGATACAAGTCTTGAAGAATCTAATGCTTTTTCTCTTTAATTCAGTATTCTTGAAAATTGTTGGGTATTTTTTCTACTCAACAACAACCTCTTCTACAAAGCTTAAGATTTACTACTTCACTCGGATTAGTTGGAATGGTAGGACCGACAAGTTCATTCGCGAATACTTAAAAGAGTTTGAGTGTTGTGAAAAGACAGGGAATTTTGCAACCTTAAGGTGCATTCCTAAGGAGGATGGATTTAGGATAATTACAAACTGCTCCAGGCTGACAAGCTATGGCACAAAAAACCATTTAAAGCAGACCAAACAATCTACAAAGTCAAAACTATCAATTGAAAAGCTATCAAGTAGATATCGGGACCTTGGTGAGATATTAAAAGACGAAAGCACGGCTAGTACTAGCAAGTGTCGGAAAAGGATTGCCCATAGAATAGTTCCGAATAGCCAAGCTTTCCCAAGGTTCAATAGCAATTCGATTAACAGTCAAATATCCTCAATAGTTCCCATAATAAGAAAGATTGCATCTGATGCTAATGGATTTTCGCTTCTGTGTCATTTTGATGTTGGTAAAAGGCTATTTCCATTTCTTAAGTTCAGAAGCAATAGAATGATATTGGTGAAGGTTGATCTATCCAAGTGCTTTGACAACATTCCACATCCCAGCCTTATGAGCTTTATAAGCAATATGCTACGTAAAGATGAGTATTATTTTCGCGAATTCGGAGTGATTAGAGAGAATAAGCTGGGAAATAAGGTTGAGATAAAATATTTGAAGCACTCTCCCGATGTTCTATATCCAATGAATATGGTTGAGGCACAACCTGAAGGCTTGAACTATCTTAGGCAAGATGGAATGTGTATTTTAAAGGAAAATAGAACCAAAGTTATCAGTAAGACAGATGTGTTAAAAAGATCGTTGGTATTATTGAAAGCCCCACCATTCTTCATCAAAATAGATACTACATGGGCACCAGGGGAATACCCCAGGGCTGTTCGATTTCGCCCTTACTGTGCTCCATATACTTTTCAGTCTTAGACCAGGAGTTTCCAAATCTTGACTGGCTGGTTGTGAGGTTTGTAGATGATTTTTTGATCGCTACTGAGGCCCCTGAGAATATTAAGAAGTTTTTTGAAATAGCAGATTCATTGAAAGATAAGGGGTTTATAGTAAATCAGAGCAAAATAAGGTCTAATATTGATCTTTCGCTTCTAAATGGAAATAGCTTTGAACAAGGCATACAGGCAAGCTTCGTTTCTGATCATATAGAGTGGTGTGGAATGAAGATATATGACCAAGGAGTTGGTGTTAAAAGCATATGCAGAGACCCGTACTTCAGATATACTGTCTCAGTTTCCATATCCAACCGGGGAAAACGAATCTTTGATAAAATCAAAAGATCATTAAACATCAAGCTTGCTAAAATATACATCAATAAACTGAACAAAAAGCTTGGCGAGTGCATTTTTGATGCACTATTCTTTTGCGGAAGAAGGTTGAAAATTATGATGCTTAGGCTAGATTTTGTAAATACTGATTTTGTGGAGCGAATTCTAGACTGGTGTGTAAACGAGGTAGAAAGAGTGTTGAAGTCAAGAAACATTATATTTGATAGAGAGAAAATTGACAGGATGTCCAATATTGCATATGAGAAGTGTGGAGTGAGGGATGTAAAAGGCATGCCACACCAATAGATAATGAATTGGACAAAGGGTCTTAATAAAGCTATTTCAGGCTTTAGAAGTCCTGGCTTTTTGAGAACTTTGTAAGATATGAGTATTAATTCTTCCAAAAACTTTGGCTTTGTGGCCAGGATTTACTGTCTTTGCATGGTATTTTGAGACATTTGTCAAAACTATAAATATAATCACTAATGGACCTTAAAAAGTCACCATTTGCACATTCATTTGCGATTTTCTACACTGCTCCTCTGTGCTTTGCCAGTGTGTTTGTTAGGATAGATTGTTAGATATTTGAAATTTTTGGATACCTATTTCTGTCTTACTGGGAGATGAATGAAAAGATTTCGATGCACGTAGAATACGAAAAAATGATATGTTCTTCCAGAATGGTGCTATTTTTTACACCAAATGAGGGCTCTGTTGGGATATTTGATGTTATGCGTTGCAAGTCATCTACCATTTCCTTCACATTTTCTATTAGAGATGTTGTACTAACTGGCAAGTATATTTACATCCTAGAAGAGAACAAAATTCATAAATACTCATCAAAAACGTGCAAGCCCCTTTCAAGAATAATAATTCCCGGGTTTATAGGCTTTATTGAGCTTAAAAACCACAGTTTCCTAGTGTATACAAGGGATGAAGCAATGCTTTTCAACGATTGTGCAAGAACTGAGTGGAAGAAGAAGTACGAGCATGCACAGATCATTGGGGAATTCCTGGTTGTTGTATTTGCAGACAAAGTGGTTGTGTATAAGAGTCTTGACGGAGAGATATATTCAATTTCAAAGGAAGAATTTGAGGAGAAGTTCTATCCAATATCTAGAACATTAGATCCAAAGAGTGACCTAAAATGGATATCATTTTCGATCAGCAACAAAAAGTTATATTTATTAGCTGATGATAGGATAGTTGGCAGGGATTTGAATGTGTACCTGGATGCTTTGAACTGCCAGCTAAAAGATTTGCAAGGCGCAAAGATAAGGAAGTTCCAGTGTATTTCCAAGGCCTTAATTTTACTAGACGAGTTGCAGACGAGTCTATACATGGTTCCAAAAAGCTTAGAAAATGTCCTCTTTACAGCAAAATGCAGTGATTTTTATTATAATAGCACAGACAACACGCTTTTTGTGCTTTATAGTAAGAAGTTCAGGATCTTTGAGCAAATATCGGAATTTAAACAGCAATTTAGATTGACCAACGAAAACACTGTTTACCAAGAAGCCGAAGATGAGTTTGACGAATCTGAAAACTCAAGCGTGGATTTGTGTATATAGAATCAATAAAAACGATACAAGCATGCATTTACTTAATATTGCAGCAGTACTATTTTTGATAAATGCTTTATAGCCTATTTTGAAGTGCTTCTATGAAGACATAACGAGCAATGCACTTCACAATGCATTTTGGCAGATATTCAAGATATGCGAAAGCTGTATCATTGGTCATTAAATACACAGCACTGTGTCTCGCTTGTCATAGTATATTACACTGATTGGAGGTAAATTTATTCCATATCAAACTACATAGTATTTGCTTTTCTAGAAAAGCACTGTTGAAATTGCTGCAAAAACTCAAGTATTCAGTGTAAATTTAACTCAACAATGAAGCAGCATCTTTATTTGGACCCATTTTGAGTGTATACTCATCTTTAATCCTGCATTTTGTATTTGTATATTAAAAATGGTCTTCTATCAAAATATGATGGACTAAACACTCGGTTTCAGCACCCCATGGGCCAAGGGACTAAGGACGACTCTGTCTCTTTGTTTTTGAAATATTAGAAGTGCATAAAGCTTCAGAGCTGCTTTTTGGCGTGCATTTTGAATTTTAAATATAGCGAATAGCTTTCAATATTTTCTGGTAATTAAAGACTATTGCAAAAAATTAGGACAAATTGATAGTAAGCGCGTATTTTTAAATAAAAATGGTCCAAAGCCATTAGCTTTCATTTTTAAAAGGTGCATGAGCATCTGATATCTTATTGGTGATGTTATTGACGATAAAACACTTTCATAATCTGAAACTATACATAACAAATGAAATATGCGAAAACCCTCATGATAATCAGCAGGAGAGAAAACATAACCAAAAATATAATGTCTGATGAGATCTATGAGCTACTCATTGACGAATTGAACAACATGTGCCTTGGCAACCAAAGATTAAAAGACAAGGACCAAGTAGAGAGTCATCCACAACAAAATCCATTTGTTGAGAGGTCTTCTTCGCAAGAGTCGATTGACACATTTGTCCCAGTTGGAAGCTTAAAAGCCCATGTGAAAGAGAAAGCCCAGGCGGTTTTTGGCTCGATGCCTACTGTTGAGCTTAATAGATTAATTACGACGATTGTCCAGATTAAAAACAAATCGTTTGGGAAAATGACAAGGTTTTGCTGCAACACAGAGCAGTTTTTTACATTTCTAAAAACCTTTTTTGAGAAGCAAAATCCAACAATAAGCCCAATAGAGAATTTGATTCAGATTTTGGAGCTAGAGAAAAACAGGGAGATTATTGAGCCACTAGCGATCAAGTATTTCAAGGTTGTTTTCTACTTTCAAAAGCCCCTGTCTCCCTCATATTACGAACTATCAATTGTTTACAATATGATGAAAATTGACTTTAAAGAGGATCAATATATTAAATCAGTCGTGAATGTAATACTAAGAGAGTTTATTTTGAACCTTGTGAAGAAATATGTATCAAACACCAGAGCCAAGCTTACAAATGCCCAAGTAAAGGAGTTTTCAGGGATAATAGAAATAACGATTAACGCCTTCAATGGTATAATTGTTGAATTGGATGTCGAGCCTGCCGAAATTTCAAGAATCATATATGTTATGCTATGCTTTTACCTGAATAGATATAAATCAGAGTTTCACAAGAACTACGGGATAAGAGAGCTGTTCTATTGTGCAGTACGGACGGTTTATCAGGGACACCAGTTTGCCAAGCGACTTGAATGCTTTATTGCGTCAAAATTAAAGTGGAAACTAAAAACAGAAGATCAAGAGTTTACATGCGACAAGATTTACCAAACACTTTTCAAACACGAATATAAGAAGACTGTTGGAAAAATTAGACATAGAAATATCAGCTATATGAAGTACTCTAATGGATTGAGTGGAGCTTCAAGTAATAGCAGTTCTTCCGACGAGAACCAACGAGTTTTGATAACAAAAATTGTTCAAACAACTCCTAAAATGAACAAGTCACAGGAGAAGTATGCATTTTCTCCGCTAAGCAGGCGAATCGGGGAGTCCCTTCAGAGTAAGGAAAATCTGGACAGCAAGAGAAAGCTTAAGTTTGAAGAGTAAAGTGTAATATGGACTTTATTTATGTGTTAGATGTTTTCATATTAGAAGTGTCAGAGAATAGGATATGAATACGTATGAACAGTGTTTGGCAGGAAGTATGCTCAGCTGATATTGAAAACAATACAGCAAAATCAACGCACGTACATGCTTAAATATTTATGTGTAAACTGAGTACCAAGCATGTGACTTAGATTGTTGCTAAGTCCTAGTATATCCCGAGTTTTACTAGCACCCATCCTCAAATGCCAGAGTTGGATTTTGGAAACATTTACAGCTCGAATGGGAAGATAATACAACACAGATATGCACAGAAGGCCATTGATGCAGGATCTACAATGATAGCAATGAAAAATTCAAAAGGCGCAGTCTTGTTAGTCAGCAAACCTATTGTTTCACGTCTTCATGCTATTGATAATGACCACAGGATAAAAAGAATAGCAGCAAACGCCTACATGTCATACACAGGCCTGTTGACGGATGGTGCTCTAATTTGTAGCATATGTAAGGACGCAGTACGAGACTATGTATCTAGCTTCAATTCAGATATCACAACAGAATATTTAAAAAGTATCATTTTTGAGTATGTCTACATGTTTACATCAAGCATAGGAAGCAGGGTGATCGGAGCATCGCTGTTCACAATTGTCAAGGATGAAGACGAGTATTCTCTTCTTTTTACAGATTGCACTGGCAAGGTCTCGAGATGGAATGCTTGTGCGGCTGGAAAAGGCGAGAGACGGGCCTTTACAGAGCTCGAGAAGCTGAGCTTGGAGGACATGAGTATTCGGGAGATGGTAGACCAAGGAATAAAGATCCTGCACAAGTGCCATGACTCGTTGACTGAACCCAAGTTCAGCGTTGAGGCCGGATATATTGGAATCGAATCAAATGGGGAGTTTGCTAGAATTCCTGAGTCTGAGATATCGCAAATATGTGAGAAGTACCAAGATTTGAGCATTGATGATGAATATTAAAGTGATCTGCCGCAAATGTTGTCTCAACGACCAGCCTTGTTTTTCTTTTACTTGGGTTTATTATTTAGTACAACTTTCAATTTAAGTATTAGATTAACAAAGGATGTATTTAGCGATAAAGCAAGACGGTTATCCTAAAGACGTCTGCTAGCATGTACCCAGTTATCAATGCACATGTCTGATCTTCTGTCCTCTTAATGCATAGCATGGCACAGAAATATCGTCCTCATACATGCAGTTACGAACAGTGCAAATATCTCATAAGCACATCTATGAGATATATAATACATGCTTGGTGACAGTGTAAAGACTGGTTTTTAGCTCCATACTGTTTTAGCTTTGCTTCTTTCTTTTTTCTAGAAAATTTTTTGTATAAATTCAGAAAATTTTGTGCCCCTATCGTGAGGATACTATTCAGAATCATTTGTATAGTTAACTTCCGATCCTGAACCTTGTGTTCTGCACTAATTCCGGCTAGGATGACGAATACGGGCTTCAAAATGCTGTAGAAATCTGAGCAATGCTCGCTGATGACAGACGGTCCTTGTGGACCTAGGCTTGAAGTTCTCCGACTAGTCTTTTATAAGCACATTTTTTTAGTAATTATTTTATGTTTGTATGTGAGTGTTTAAATGGTAAAATGAGCCGGACTGCAGCAATCTGTGTAGACAGTTTTCTTTCTAAGTTTTGTTATCTTTATGTTCTCTGCTCAGGATG